GCCTGATCGCTGTATTTTTGTTTATAAACGGCCCACTCTGGCAAGCGCTCGGAGAGCAGCCAGCAGAGAGCACGTGACATTCGCCGCAATCGTGACGTAGTTCGTCTCGGAACGAGCAAAGCTTTGGCGAGGCTGATGCTGAGAAGATGCCCTAACGGTTCCAGCCACTGAAGCGGCTGCTTTTGTACGAATTTTGAGTGACGGGTTAATCTTCTGTAATCTTGCAGATGGACCAGTAGCGATTTCTGGGAGACACAAAGGATATTCTCGGAAGGAAGGGAGCTCCTCCTTCCCCTATTCTCTCGTGGTGGCCGGAGGCGAGACAGTTATCGTCACTACCTGTCAAAGTTCCTAGACGGGCATTACAAACGAGGCGTTAGAGACAACCACCAGGTGCTCTTTGCTAATCGTTTAATTAGTTTTAAAATTCCTTTTCGTGTCTTTTTCAACAAGAGATTGATGTGTCTGATGTGATAGTGCTCCCATGAACACGAATAGACCAAGAAATAAGCGCCGAAATTTCGTTGTAGTATCCCTTTAAAGAGGGATTTTTGTAGTAGAGCACGATTTAAACAAGGACAGGAATGTCGACGAACAAGTTTAGAAAGCACCATATCTGCAGCGACGTGGGGACGGCAACACCCGACGTCGCGCGACCAGCCTTTCAACTCGCAGAGCAACTCTCGTCGCGCAAAAACGTGGTTTTGTTTCACAGCATGACGGCATGTCTGGCACCCGGCACACTAGCGTCGGAGCGTCCGCACACGCCCGCGTCTATCGTAGAAAAAGTTTAAAAAAGACGCGAGACGAGATTCCCGAGACGACGAGGCGCGAAACGCGAGACGGCGGAAAAAACCATGCAAGACCGGATGGATGCAGGGTACTTTGTGTCGGGCGGCCCCTTGCGCCACCTAGCTCACGCATGCTCAATTACGTTCTTAGTTTAGTGTCGGTTTTGAAAGGCGACCGAAATTCGTCCTTTGGCGCAGGCTTGGCCAGATTACCCATATTTGGGCAAAATGTAGCAGGATGTAGCAGGGTTAGCCCCTTGGCGCAGTTTGGCGCCATTGGCGCAGCAATCACATCGCTCGCTTGTTATTTGGGTCGTGCCGAATAGTATGTACTTTTATTACCATTGTAAAAGTTCAACTGCTCTAGTTAGCGCATTTTTCTTCACCAGTAAACGAGGTTTAACTTGGCTATATTTCGGGCCCAAACGTCTGTTTCACAGCAGGTGTGTAAAAACAAGCGATGATTCTAAGCAAAATAACAATCGAAAGAAATATAGACCCTCTCTTCAAGGGCGCGCTGCCATCTTGAATTGTCGTCACCTCCAGTATGGGCGAAAACGTTGTTTTGCCGTCGCCACGCCAATAGAATGCATTTAGGAGAAAAGCGTAAACGTCACCCATTCTCGTTTTTTCTCCCCTCTATTTTTTTACTACTTGCAGGTTGAAACGTTTTAATACTCTTTCGTCGCCCATACCGGATATGCCCACTTGGCGGTCGGGGGCGAGAGTAAGCGGAAAAGGTCTATAGAGCGCATTCAAGGCTCGCCAGCATTCCGGTGACGATTATACTGGGTGACCAAAGGAGCGCGGCCAGGCTCTTTAAATGGATACTTCAACGAAATTTGAAATATTCCCGTCGTGTTCAAAAATGTGATACTGCTTCCTTGAACGTGTATAGACAAAAAAAATGAGCGCCGAAATTTCGTTGTAGTATCCCCTCTTAAAGGGACACTACAACGAAATTTCGGCGCTCACTTTTTGGTCTATATGCGTTCAGAGGAGCAGGATCACATCGGACACACCAATATCTTGTTAAAAAAGACACGAAAAGTAATTTTAAAACGAATTAAACGATTAGCAAAGGGCACCTGGTGGATGTCGCTAACGCCTCGCTTGTAATGCTCGTCTAGGAACCTTGTGACGGAGATTGTCTCGCCTGCGGCCGCGACGAGAGAAGAGAGGAAGGAGGAACTCCCCTCTTCCCTTCGTGTGTCCCAGAAGTCAGTATTGTCCCCCACAAGATTATAGAAGATTAGAAGATTAACCCGTCACTCAAAATTCTTACAAAAGCAGCCGCTTCCGTGGCTGGAACGACTAGGCCAACCTCTCGACGTCAGCCTCGCCGTAGCTTTGCTCGTCCCGAGACGAACTACGTCACGATTGCGTCGGATGTCACGTGCTCTTCGCTGGCTGTTCTCCGAGCGCTTGCCAGAGTGGGCCGTTTATAACGAAAAATACAGTCACCAGGCTCAAAATACAAACGTGCGATTGTCATTTACGGATATTGTGGATCATATTCAACCTATTTTTGAACACGACGGGTATGTTTCAAATTTCGTTGAAGTATCCCTTTAAGAGGTTAAAAGCGCGAACTGAAACACGGACGAAATAAGAAACACGTACGAAAATGACGGGCGCTACTTACAATTACAACTGATTTTATTGAAGAAACATTCACTCGATCGTTCACCATACCGATAAAAAAGCCATACACCGGGTTGACGCGGATTGCGAAATAACACCTAACGCAACGCGCAGAGACTACCAGGAGCCAAATCTGACATTCCCAGCCCGCTCAGACGAAACTGGCCATGCCCGTTCACATGCCTTATCCTCGCAGAGCTAAGTTCTCGGCCACCTGCGATAGCCTTGCTAGCTGCTCCAATGGTCATCACGTCATCGTTGACGCTGTGACAAGGTGTCACGAAATGGTGCGTCAACAATACGCACGAAGTCACATGAGCGTTTTCCGGGCGAGCGACGACCCGAGGAGAAATCTTCTCACGTAGAATCGAACCGATCAAAACGTAAAGAGCCTGCGTGAAAATAGTTCATCTAACTTTTGTTAATGCCGTTCAACTCGTCTTAAAGATTAAGAGAAAAAAAAAATCGAGGTCGAAGTTGTCAGGTCTGTAGACCGGTGAATTCATCTATACTACCTTTTGTATTTATCTTTTTTTATTTTATTTTATAGGCTAATATCACTCTTTGGTGTCACAATTCAACTAGCCTAGTTAAATTTACACAAGTTATTCGTAGCTCCGTCAGGTACTGACATACAAGAAAAACGTTGCAAACCAGCAATTCACATCAACAGTTGCAACAAATGCATAAAATTACGTAGTTCAATACTTTCGTACACCACGCAGCGAAGTTTAGACAACATGACATCAAATTCGGGACTGGGTTGGGCCTGTTCTAAGAGGTGACGGACCGGGCAGCATAGAAATTGCTCGGGCTCGGGCCGGGGCCCGGTTTGGAACACCTGGGGGGCTATGTTCGACAAATGTTTCGTTTCTCCTAAAAAGAAACGGAAGTGATGGAACTGACGATATCGCGTCTGATTGGCTAGAGGCTCAAATGACGCAAGTTCCCTCTTTCGTCATTTGAGCCTGTAGCCAATCGGACGCGATATCGTCAGTTCTGTCACTTCCGTTTCTTTTTAGAAGAAACGAAACATTTGTCGAACATAGCCCCCCTGGGCCGGCGTCGTGGTAAATTACCACGACGCCGGGCCTGGATCGCGCCTGGGCTCAAAAAAGCGGCCCGTGCAGTGCTCTAATCAGTGTGATGCATGTTAAAGACCCCAGGATGGTAGTGCACTGGTCAATTATCCCATCTACAACGGGGATGCCAGACGCCCATTGGTGCTGAGAAACTTCCCGTTGTCTAAACATATACACCACGTTTTGCTAAAAAATGTCTTAAAAAAATTAAAACAAAACTGGTGCAATTATTTTTTTATTATTTTTATTCTTTACACGACCCCTTTACCTGTTTAAAAATAAGGCGCCTTGAGCCACACAGAGGGCCGGTTCCCCCCAAAAGAGCTCAAAGACCGGCTGCGTGCGCAAACTGCACGCGACGAAGAACAAAAACAAAGTTTGCGGCAGCCCAGAATTTCTCTCCTTTTTTTTTTTTTTCTCCTGTTTTTGAAAAGAGCCACGACAAAACCACCACAGGTCGAGATGCACGATTTAAGATCACCTCTGAAAAGGGTGGCACTTTCGGCCAGGCCCGCTTAGACCGAAATCTTCGAAACACGCCTGGCCCGGTTCGGACGAACGTACGACGACGATGTTTTTCGGCGTTCCAGCAAACCCCGACGCGTCGGGAGGCACGTCGCCGGGGGCGGAGTGGGGGAGGGGGCTTCCAAAGTGTTCAAAATTACTACGAAGACGCTCGACGGGAGGAATTCGAGAGGAAAACAGAAATCGATACCCGCGCACAACAAACACGCGGGGGACGACGGATTTCCGAACGCGCGCTGGAATCTCGACAGCATTCCGCCGGCCGCACATCGAGACCGACGACACAGAGCTGCTCCTCTTCCTCCTCCACGTGCGTCGGCCGCACGCGACGAACCTTTTCGCCGCCAAAACAAGACAACACACCGCTGCAGGTGACAGCTACTAGGGCCGCCCCCTCCAGATTCGAGACGTTCGCTCAAACGAACGGAAAGACGAGCGGCGAGAAACAACGCCTACAGATCCATCCTGTATCCCCACCCGCAGTTATATTTGTCATTCGAACAGCGAGCGTCTGAGTCACTCCACCACCGTCGTGAGCGCCGCTGGCATCGCAATGCCCCGATCGTTTCGAACCTACTTTACGACATAAAAGTCGCGTTTTGCGACCCAAAGTGCCGCACGAACTTCGCAACACGCGGCACTTTGATTTCGGAGTGAAACAGATCTCCACCTGGACGGGGGCCGACGCTTTCAAACGACCGCGGTACGGATCGAGAGGCGCGGGGACCCGTCCACGCCGCCTCTCTCGCAGCCCCAAACTTGCCGCGTCCCCCCCCACAGGCTCGCCCCCAACCTCCGCGTCACAATTCTCCGAATACTGGAGTATTCGGAGCATTGTGCCGCTTTTAAGCCGAAGCCACGACTCGGAAAAAAGGTCATCGTCACCGGACGGATGGGAAAAGAAACACGAGAGTTGGGCGTCTGGCTCCACGGTCACGGCTTTGTTTTCGACGCTTACCTTTTCTATCGTTCCTCGTCGTCCGGTTGCATTGTCGCTTGTCAAGAACACACGCACACGGGCAGTTTGTCGAGGGAAACGTTCGGTCGGACGTCCACCACGTAGCACGTGATCAAGGCCAATACGAGGGACGAATGAACTCAACACTTTGGAAAGACCGCCCCGGCCGCAACACCCGCCTTCCCGCTTCCAACTTCCCGTCACGCCGGCCGTGCGGTCTGCGAGTGTGCTGCCTGCGCCGTGCCGCCGGTGCCGCCGCTGCTGCTGTGCGTCGCGCCGGTAATCATTTGGGCAACGCGCATGCGCTGCTTCGAAAAATGTGCCGACAACCTCCGCGCGCGTCGCGGGTCTACTTTTTTGACGTTGACTTGCCGCCGTCGCGAAACGCGCGGAGCGCGATAAATTGAACGCCGCAAATTCAAAAACGCGTTTTTTTTTTTTTTTTCGTGTTTATTCTTACAACGCACGACCAACAACATGGTCATTTTATTATCAAGGCGCGGGAAGTGACAATAAACCTAGAGTAATGAATTTATTTTCCAAGCGCAATTCAATGACAACAAGGAGAGCAATCATACTATTACTCGAGCTGATGTGATCAGGAACCTTCGTGTGTTTGCCGATTGCCAACTCACGTTCAAATCTCATGTCACTAACATTTGTAGTACCGGTTTTAAATTGTTTGACATGATTTCACGTATGAGTGGGCAATTATCGGAAAGTGAATGTTGGCGCGTATTGAAACGGAACAAAGGCGTTTGGTTCACATAGTCTATGAGCATTTTCACGGGACACTACCATTCCTTGTTAAGCTTTTGAATCTCGGCACTTTAAGCGACACTAGGATTTGCCGAGATGTGTAGCGTTTTTACAGACACTCATCCAAGGTCATACCGATGTACCTGATTTCTTGAGCAGCGTAAAGCTACGTAATCCAGCGAAATTCACGTGACATTGCTAAACGCTTGATCGCGACAAACTTTTGAATAGCGGAATGTACCTGCCTGATAAGCTATTTTGTTGCAGGTCTTCGCTTTTCTTTTTTCTTTTTTTTACGTCGAAGTGATTTTTGCTGTGCGCCAATGTCATAACCTTCATGGTGGTTTTGGGTACATAATAAACATCAACATACTTCGTTTCACTGTAACTTGACAGAAAGCGAACGCTACGGCTCCTTGCAGCCCATCAGGGCGACGGAGGCGAACCCTTACCACAGATACAGGGGCCAGAGGCACTACTTGCAACTGAAGGAGGTAGGGCGATTGTAAGACGGGCCGGGGAGGAGGAACCAGACGGAATGCTGAAGAGAGGTTTCCCCCTCTCTTCTCCAACGTTCCGTCTACTTCCTCCTCTCCCTCGCCCTACCTTCTTGAGCTGCAACGCGCTCCCTCGGACGTGCTCACTGGAACCGAAGCCTTCGCCGTCTGCCAAGTTTGTAATCTAATTATTTTCACCCCCCCCCCCCCCTCTTTCTTTTTTCTGTCAGAATAAAGCGCGTGCACCACGCTAAAGCCAGTCTGATTTGAAAAGGCAGCCTTGGCAGAAATTGTTTTCTCCTTTTTGTTTACTGGTCTTGAAAAAAGTACTTTGATCTTTCAAGTGCTTTAATGGGCTTTTGACCACTCCACGTCATTAGTATTAAACAAAGTTAAAGGTTAACTTTAAAGGTAAGTTAGTGACACATACTGGTTTTACTATGCATGAAAAGTTTAGTCCATATGGGAATGCATTTTCGCTCGTAAGGTGTTCATTTTCTTCATGTCCTCGACGTATCACAGCTGGAGTACTTTAAGGAAGTATTTTAGAACCACTTAGGAATATATGTCGATGATACAATAAACAAAAATCCCAAAGCAATTAGTAATTCATGCAGATGGCACGAGTATACATTTTACCATCTATTGAAACGTGTTTTTTTTTTTTTTTGTGAGTGTGTGTGTGCAAATCTGACAGTTATATTTATGAATATTTAACTTAAAGACGGGTATGTGGTGAAATGTTATCAGAAGGGGGGCTGCATGTCTCAGAAGATCCCTAAATACCACGATAGCGTGAGTAGGAAGAAATTGTCACTTTAATTTTAGTGTTCTGCTAAAATGATTTCACAATCCTAATTTTTAGGGACTATCATGAACATTGGCTATTCCATTGTTCCACTCATAAAGGTGTGGATCCACCTCCTTAAAGGAGCTGTGCAACAATTTCAGGGCTTTGCTTAAATAATTGTGGAAGTTGGTGCCTGACACTTCTGCAATGAACTACAGAAAACAGATTTTGCCTGGATACCCTAGTTTTTATTTAAAAAAAATTAAAAAGATGCAGGTTTTTGCCGCCTCTCAACTCGTACATCGTTTTCCAGGTCACGTGCGCAATGACTGAAACGACTGAAAAGGAAAAAAAAAATTTAAAGTTTGGTCGGCATACTCGTGTTGAGACATACGCGAAAAAAAAAAATTAAGCAATATTGACGGCGTGAGATTTATTTCATATTCTGCGCGCTAATTCCATGACGTCACGGAATGGTCATACGCTCTATCCACCTCAACGAGACAGTCATACCCTCTCTCCACATCAACGTCATGGCCAAGCCGATCCACCTCTCCTCCACACTCCCGAAATGCCGAGAAAAAACAAGTGGAAAGAAGGTGACGCGTGTCCCAACCAAACTGTTTAAAAAACCTTTTTTTTTTTTTTTTTCAGTGGCTTTTTATGTAGACAACACACTAAACGGCAACATTGCATGCAATGATCATAAAGGTTAGTGCTAGCATTAATCTTTGGATCCACCTTTCAAGTTGTGTTTAGCACACAATGCATCCACCTGCACTGTGGCCACTACCTTTCTACTACGGCCTGCTGGTAGATGCCAAACCCTCGCAATGACTGTGGTATAACAATTACCATAGTAACACTGTAAAATGTAAAAAAAATACATAAAAAGCAATGACACCACAGATTAGAAAGAAAAAGAAATTACACCAGTCACCAATCTGTTATTTGTTGCTAAAAATATGGCGAGTGTGACAAATCGGCAGAGGCTTACAGCGCTGGCGGCAATTGGCGACGTGAGCGATCGAAAGTGTCGCTGTGGTCGGCCCACCACAATTGGCCGAATGCTGACTATGACGTCAGCAAAGGATGTCTCATGGACGAAAATAAGAGGAATGTAAGAACTTCAATTTTGACGGTGTTGGCAGTGTTGCTTTGAGACCGCTATGATTTTAGGCTTCCAGAATGCTCACTACGAACACCATCGCGCTTGTTGTTCACAAGGTAATGACGTCACGAAAGGTAACCGAACGAGGGCGCCACCGAAACATCTCGCGTGTGCGCGACTGCCGAGCGCGTGGTGACGGCGAGCTTCCACAGTTCTTTTGCAGCTTGCATTCCGCACCATCGAGATTGACGACCTCAGCGCGCGCCAGATTGAGCCGCCATAGCCGACCTTTTCTTGTCTTATCGAGATGCCGAGCCACTGAAGCGGGCGTTGACGAGTCTCCATAAGGCCCTATGCTGGGGAGAAGGACACAACCTATCCTGATGTGGTAATGATGAAGTGGAGCGAACGGAATAAGAGGGAACAAAAACTAAAGGTCGGTTATGGCGCGCCCATGCACAGCTGCCTGAAAGCATCTATACATGCTTTGCAGTGACGTCACATCATCCATTTCGCACCACCATGGAAGTGAGAGAGGGGGAAGCTGCTTTTGTAAAAATTTTGAGGACACTCAAAAGAGAGCCTCGGTGAGAGGGGAGTTCCTCCTTCCCCTCTTCTCTGGTGGTGGCCGGAGAGCTGTCGCGATGACGTCAGGTGCAAACCATGTTTAAAGGGCCACTGAAAAGAAGAAAAAAAAGAAACGTTTTTCTTTAACAGTCTGGTTGAGACACGCGTGTCGAGAAACGAATCTTACGCGAAAAAAAAAAGAATGGAGCAATATTGACGGCGCGAGATTTATTTTAAATTCTGCGCGCAAAGTTCATGATGTCGCGGAATGGTCATACACTCTCTTCACCTCAACGTGATGGCCTCTCCTCCACGGTGCCCGAAATGCCGGAAGAGAAAACAAGTGGAAAGGAGGCAACTACCGACTAAATCGCGTCTCGCGCCGTCATATTGCTAAAAAAAAAAAAAAAAAGATTTCACGCAAAATTTATTTTTTGACACGCCTGTCCCAACCAGACTGCTTAAATTTTTTTTTAAGTGTTTTTTTAATGCGAACTTGTTCTGAGCATGCGCTATAAACATCGCTGAGCAAACGCAGCGTATGGTTTATTATGCTCGTTTCCAGCTTCGTGATTCGTTCTTCTGCGTCCTTATCGGCTAATGCTGCAATCCCATTGACTGCGGAACAGTAGTAGGATGCAAAGGACTCGCTATGCTCTGAGTTTCTTATGGGGGTCAGTGGCTATACGTCAAGAAAGTTTCTAAAATATGTCTTTTGCGCATTGGCAAGCCAATCAGAGAGCAGCATAACGAACGCGCTAAGAACGCAAGACGACGACGCAGCCAAGCTTGCGTGATCACTGGGTGAGGTCGGGGGGAAATGGGGGCCTGGGAAGGGAGGGGTGGGGGGAAGCACGTGGGCGCATTTGCGGAGTAAACGAACGCACGAGCTCCGCAAGGAGCAGGCGAACGTGCACGCCGTATAATAAGGCCAGGCAGCGGTGTCCAATGTGCCGAGTGGTCCAGCAGTAACCTCCCTCCCCACTCCTGTTTTATATATATATATATATATATGATGAAGGGCGCAGCTCTGTATCAAACGTGCAGAAGTGTTCCCTGTTCAACCCAGTTGCTACCAATTCTTGATTACGGTTCACTCCGTCATGTGAGAGGATGCATCTCGATCCATATACACAGTGACTCTGAATCGGAGTGGACAATACTGTAGCAGTTATTTGCTCCCTACGCTCCTAAATGGAAAGAAAATAAATACCTTCCAAAGGCTTTCTAAGTCCTTGTCTTGATCTTGGTGGCAGCAGAGACGTTTCTCGTCAATTGCCTCGGTGGCTCCAAGGAAAAGTGCTAGCCTATGGATCTCCAGTTGGCGAATTCGAATCCCAGACAAGGTGCCCATAGTTTGACGGACTCACCGCTCATTCACACTGGAAGGGGATCCGCGTTCGCGAAGGGGATCCGCGTTCGCAAAGCGGTTGCGAACGCGGTTGTATAAAGATCCAGTACAATGGACCTTTTCCACATACCGACGGCACCAGGCGGTGGCTGCACGAACTAAAAATCGAGGAAGTGACCTACCTGCGCTACCAATCGATAATGGGAGATACGTTACCAGTTCCTTCGTCCACCCAAACATCGTGTTTTCCTTTCCGTCCACTTTCTTTATTTGTGTAACACAATTATATATATGCTGCAGTTACGTGTTCTACTCGCTAATACAGAGCCTCCTTCCGAATTTCCTCGATTTTTCGTTCCGACTTCCGCCGCTTGGCATCGGGCGCTCGCGCGTGCGCAGAACGCTTCTTAAAAAAAAGGTCTATTGCACGCGCACTTGATGTCATCGAGTGCGCGTGCAATGGACCTTTTCAGCGAGTAGAACACGTAACTGCAGCATATATATAATTGTGTTACACAAAAAAAAAAAAAAAGGACGTCGACGGAAAGCAAAACACGACGTTTGGGTGGACGCCACGGATGCCCCTCTTTAAAGTCGCGTTGGGCAGGCGCCGCTGCCGCCGCTGCTCAGAGAACGAAGAAACTGGTAGCGTAGCTCCCATTATCGATTGGTAGCGCAGGTAGGTCAATTCCTCGATTTTTAGTTCGTGCAGCCACCGCCTGGTGCCGTCGGTATGTGGAAAAGGTCCATTGTACTGGATCTTCATACAACCGCGTTCGCAACCGCTTTGCGAACGCGGAGCCGCTTCCAGTGTGAATGAGCGGTTACCGCAGATTAGAGCCATGTATAGACAATTGCAAGCATGGCGCCACAAGTGGTGCCCCATGCGTGCAAGCGCGTGCAACGCGCGGGTGAATATAGCTTTCGCAAGCTCGTAATCGCACGAGCGGCCTGCACGGGCGTGCCTGCTCGAGCAGAGACATGGCGGCGGCCAGTCGCCCAGCTTGCAATCGTGTATATGAAAATTCGGTCACACGTCCCTAGGTGGTTAACATTAATCCTTAGTCTTTAGCTGGAGTATGCCACATGCCTTTCCTTGGCCCGACAGATAAATGGACCCTTTCTGAGGTTGCCTGTGTGCATGCGTAGCGGTAGCAGACGTGACCCCTTGCCATTTTCAGAGGCGCTTACATGGCAAAGTCTGCACTAAGGAACAGCGTAAAGCCAGTTTTAGCCCAGTGTTTCAATTGCAACACAGCATATTTTTTCGTCTTTGGCTGTAACCAAAGATGAGAGGCCATCAACTACGCTTCCTGGTTTGCCAACTGATGGTGAGGAACAACAAGAGGAAGGCCTATGAACATCCTCTAGCTATAGACACTTTGAGGCAGCTGTGCAAGGGCGCCGCCATAACCGACCGTCAGTTTTTGTTCCCTCTTATTCCGTTCTCTCCACTTCATCATTGCCACAGCAGGACAGGTTATTGCCATTTTAAGTGTTACTGTGTCCTTCTCCCCAGCCTAGGTCCTCGTGGAGGCTCGTCAACGCCCGCTTCACTAGCTCGGCATCTCGGTAAGACAAAAGAAGGTCGGCTATGGCGGCTCAATCTGGCGCGTGCTGAAAGCGTCGAAGGCTCAGACAACATACTTTTTTACTCAGGCAGACTATTTTCTGGTATATATGACTAAGACTAGCTGAGATAAATTTAATTATTAAATTGTGACCAAAAACCCCGCTTTAAATTTTTGTACATGTTGTCCACAAAGCTGTGTGTTTGCTGGGCTCATATGATGCATGCCACTTTCCCCTCAAAAGATAGGTCTTGAGAAGCTATTTTCTCATCATGGAGCGAAGAGTTCCCATTCTACTCTTGTGCAAAACATTTGGGGCATGGGCTCATACGAGACTTACACGCACGCAAAACTGGGCCTCTGACAGACTGGAGCCTAGTGCATGTAAATGCATTGCCAGAATGAAGTCACTAGTCAGCCATTCAATGTGTCCTCAATTTAATTCACACATTTCCACATTGTTGGTGTTATCCTGGCAACAGTACTTGCCCCCATGTTTGCAGGCAGGCTCACACCAATACAGTTCCAACAATGTCAGCATCACTAATAAATACAGACACACTCTATGGTGGCTGCCCACCAGCCAGCAAGAAAGTTGCAATGCATGCTTGCAATCTCCTTCACACCTGAGACACATATGCAGAATGCACCAACAAAGTCAACTGGCATGGGAAAAGATCCAGGGGCACTTTCAAACAACTTGAGACTACATTATTATGCCTCGGATCACAAAGTTCAAACGCTAGAATATGACGACTTCCATCGTCACTGTTTTCTTCGGGCACCAGCATTAGGGAGGGGGGCAAATGGAATGTATCAACACTTTGTGTACAATCATTGCTTTGCACTATAACACAGCCAGTCACCAAATCAAGCTGTCGTCGTAGCCAGGTGCCGACGCAAACTCACTGCGTGTGCGCTACATCAAAATCAGCTGCCATCGTACGGGTAGGGACAACATGACCTCTATAGCCAGTCAATCGCACCCGCCACAAACGAGACAACCCAACTTAACAATACCATATTAGCTCGGGTATTAGCTGCACCTCTTGTGAACAAGGACCTTGCGTCTACTTTTCCACAGAACATACATACAGCCAATCATAGCGTCCTACATAAAAAAACACAGTGAATAACGAGGTCGAGAACACAATTCTCCGTACATATGCAATCTAAGCAGATTGCAGTTTTTGTGTGAAGACGTTATCTCTGTCCCGTAAATTGCTACCATTTTTCTGCCGATGGCAGTGGTTCGCTATCCCCGTCCTGCGCTGGAAAGCAGACCCACAGGCTTTGTTCATGAACAGTGCGGCTATTACTCGAGAAAGTATGGTACGCCACAAGTTGCACTAATGTCGGTGGCTTATTTCTTTTTTTTCTTTTTCTGCCTCACGATTGCAGCCTACAACGCCCCATTTACAAAACTATTTTAACCTACGACTGAGGGTGCGCCCTTGCACAGAAATGGAAAGCATACAAAATGTGTTGCTAGACGTCGGCACGGCGCAGGAATTATGTGGCAACGGCGTCACGCGGGGAATGCAGAGAGCAATATACAAATGACGAGGTGACACCTCTGTGCTGGGGTGGTGCGTGAGAATGAGAATTCTTTTCCCAAACCGTAAACAGCGACTGTCAGGAATGCAGCCCGAAATGTTGGCCGGCAGGAGCTGTGTTACAGCAATGAATGATGAATGGGCAAACACGCACCACTCAAGTCTACTTCTGCTCTTGGCAACAATACTTAAATAAAACATACAAGTATGTACACTGTCCAATTCCGAGAAACACAAACTGATCACAATAATGACAATCTGTTTGCAGAGTAAAATGCTGCCTCAAGATGCCCCCCCTAAATGCAGACCGTAGCACTGCCAAATACCTAATGACACTTAGCATGCGAATGACATTTTTCTGCAGTGTTTGAGGCTACAATCTCAAGAGCGCTCAAGGCAGACCCGAAATCAGCTTCAAAACTAAAAGGGCAGGAGGAGAGATCATCCTTGATGCAATGTAAGTTAGAAACCCACTAAAAGTATAATCCAACAGACCATTCGCAAAGTGTGCAGCGCTGTCCGCAGCAGTGAAAGGAATGCTGGGAACGCTAGGTGGTTCTAGCAAACGACAGAGGAGACCTTGGAGGCGACGGTGAGCGAGCCAGGGCAAGCAAACAGCTCCGGTACCCTCTCACTCTCTCCAGTGTCACGTGGTAGATGCTGCGGTGACAGGGTTCATTGACGCTTTTCATATGTTAAATCAATCAGTCACTCAATTATTCATTCTCCACAAAAGGCAACTAATGCCTCACAGTGCTGCTATGCAGTTTCACTGGGTACTGTATTAGTATTTAGGGCTGCTTTCAGAATGTTTGTTGAGGGCATACTAAATGCCCCATTTAGGCCTTTTTGTATTCGGAAACAACTAAAATACTCAATTTAACAGCGGCTGACTCCATTTTATATTTCCGTGTACAACGCTGTCAAAGCTACTGGCGTGAGTGTGGGACTTCACCTAGCATCTCACTTGTTCAAGAGCGTGTGCAAATGAACCACAAGATCCAGGACACGCTTGGGCCAGCAACTTTGACAGTGTTGTACACTAAGTATAAAAAGGAGTCTCGGCAGCACTGGGTATAAAAAAAAAAAGTACTGATCCAAAACAAATTTCAAGGTCCGGACATGAACAAAAAAAAATGGTTTGTGGAATACTTGCATGCATCAGAAGAGTTCAAGCTCTACCAGAGGTAATGGTTAACAAATTGAGCAAAGTACGATAAAATCAGTCATTAATGAAGTAACCATTAGGTTAGTACATTATCTTCACAGCCGACCATTACACCTAAAGTACCTCATAACAGTGTCCGAGATGATTGGAACGTCGAAGAAAAACAGAGTACCGCTTTTGGAATGCGAGAAAAATAAAACGCAAAAAAAAACCACCAGCAGCAGAACACCAAGGAGAACAGACAGGTAGACGAGACTAGGTCTTACAAACTGAATACTGCCCTACATTAGATGAATGACGCTGGAATGAAAAACGAAGATGCAACACCATGAACTATACAAGTTTACCGACACAAAGGTGCCATTGACATACAGCCTAAAAACAATATTGTAAAGCAGCCATTTAAATACCCCAACCTGCCCCCGCAGCGGCAGGAAACCAGCGCCGTCACTTGAAAGTTTGACCGTGGAACAGAGATCCCAGACGGAAGCCCACTCGAAGGAGCATCTGTTGGCTGGTGATGCAGCTGCTTCGGGAAAGGGTCTAGCTTGGCGCATGCTCCTGACGCACGACTCAGTGTTACCAGACCGTTGTTTCCGTGTTCCCCCTGGTTGTCCGCGGGCGTGCGGAAGCTGCCGCACGGTGTGGCCTGTCCTCGGAATCCGACGAGGAGGAGTGTGAGTGGCTTGGAGAGCTGTAGATGTCGTTGATAGTGGGCATGGGGTTCTGGAAGAGGCCAACCATTTTTGTTCGATCACAGTTGCTTGCACTCAGACTACGCCACTATGTGCAGTATTCCAACAGTTTCACAAGGACCTGGCCTGCGCCACATCTTGCAAAAGAGAGCACCATCGTCTAACGCTTTTCACTGCCAAAGACAACCCTAGTTTGTCTGGAAATGTAAGGGTCACTAGTTTCAACGCATAGTGTCCTACGCCTTGTTTCACCTTATGGCGATACTAGTACAGCCAAGAGTATGTGCGGGTGCCTTACATTGTAATGTCTTGGAACATCAAACCCTGCATGTCTGTAGGGTTTCATTCCACTGCTACTATATTGTTGTGCCTTGTTAAGATGAACCCCATTAATTTGGATACCCTGCTATATATAGACAACATTTTGGGGGATGAACTGGATAAATATGTGCATTTTTGTCTCATAATTATAGCTGACTTGCATTATGGACGACTTGTGGGGCGAATGGAAGTGTCCATATTGGCGAGACATGATTGTGCTGGGTGTTTCAACGAAGACTTTAAATAACTTGGAGGACGCTTAAGCTTCGTCTTTAAGAGTGGAATGTGATAGTGTTGTTTGGCGCAGTTCGCAAAGCCTTCTCATACAGCCAAACCTGTCTGTATTGAACCCGGGTAATTCAAACTATCCCTTGTATCAAACTATTTCTGAACATACTAGTAGGTGCAATGAAAATGCATAGCGAAAAATGCGGTTACATAGAACGAAAATTGAAGCATCTCCTGATATATTGAACTGCCAAGAGCGCTGTTTTGCTCTGCAAGCTGGCCTTTTTTTTCTTCCGGGCAGCCACGTCGACTGCCTGGAAGAAAAAAAAAGTTCTCTTTTGTGGAGGAAGCGTGGAGAGGGTGAGCCGGTGAGTCCTTGAAAAACGAAGAAGCAGCCACTGAATTGCCACGTGGCGCGTCCCTCATGACGTACAGACACTCCTTTGAGAGTAAACAACTTTTCTAAATGTGGCGTGCACGTTTGTTGTCAAATTCATTAAAACTTTATATTGAATTACTATTTTTCGCGGGCTCAATATTTCGCAATTTAGGTCAAAGCTGAAGTTTCTAAATAATTCGCGAGTTGTAATTTTCGCTGTTCCCACGGTTAAGGATGGCCTCAAGAAAACAGAAAGAAGAGACCTCAAGCTCCGACTTGCTTAATGGTTGCTCATGTATTGCCAAGCACTTTGTCCAAGCGGAATGTCTCCAGCAAAACAGATGCTGGTTTATCCAATGAAAGCAAGACTGGACCTCTGTATTCCCAGAAGGGGTAAAGAGGCAATTCTGGAGCAGTTGCCGACAGAATCTAGGCAACGGGCCGAGCAAGAAAAGGAAAGGGGACTACACCACAAGAAAACAGAGAAGGTTGCAGTTTGCAATTCCGGCAAGGAACCTCAATGGTGGTCGGAACATCCATTGTGACTGTATGAACTCCACAAGGAGAAGTGCGCCGCCACAACGACCAAGTCAAGCCACACTTGACCACTTCGGCATCAAGTCCTGGGGAACAACTACCACCTGACAAGGACCAAGGCTACGCAACGAGTGAACCAAGGACAGAGGAGACTGCAAGGACGCCCTGTATGAGACTACCATACATGCCAACCTGTGGACTTTCAAATTCGTAAAATTCCCGCGGGAGGTGGGGGGGGTTGCGAAGCGATGTGCAGCTTAATGTCAACGTTGCCACCGTGCAAAACGCTTACATCGCACGTGCATGTGCAGCAGAATCCAAACTTCTGTCCCTTTTTGGAAGGCACGAAGCACAAGGATTCCGAAGTGTAGGACTTCAGGAACACCAGAAAGTACCTCTTTTGAGGTTTGGAGTTCGCCATTGCGCCACGAAGCCACTGCGACCAGGGGAATGCTACGATCACACGTGCAATAAACACAGATGCCAGACTTGTCGCCTCAAAACTGGCCAAAACAGAGGTTTTTAACCACGTTTGAACATGCCGAACCAACGTACGCCGCCGAACACACAAACAAAGACTTTGGGCTTTGGATTGGTTTTGGATCCGTGGCCACCGGATAGACGGATAGTAAAAACCACGACGCTGCCGTGGACGGTGCCTATCACCCTCTTGTGGCAGTGCAAGCTACCACCAGCAACAATTTCACAAAAAAAAAAAGTAAAAAATGTAAAAAAAAATATATATATATATATTTTTTTTTTCTAAAATTGAAGCAAGATTTGTAAAATCGTAAAATTAGTCCCAATTCATACATTTTTTTGAAAAATTCGGAAGAGTTGGCAGGTATGGACAACCCACACAAATGTCCACAAGCCTTCGAGATTCACATAGACTTCAATAAGAAGGTAGCCTTCATTAAGAAGGAAGGAGTGCTGTGTATTTGTACGCCCTCACTAGATGGCGCCACCGACCCACTCCGTAACGACTGTGCTGAGGAAAGCTAGAAACTCTTGTCAGAGGGGGCCGGCTCAGGAACCGCAAGGATGGAAGACTGCCTGCCGTCATTACGGCCGCTTGTTATTAGTTAATAAAGTATTACGTTAAAACCCAACCCCGAAGTACATAACACAATGAATCCTTAGGGAATGATCGTGAGCGTTCTGAGAATGAGAGTGATCAGGAGAGTTGTACGGACGCCGCCGTTTCTCAAGGCTGGACACCATGTGGTTGCAGATCATGATTTTTTTTTAAACTGCTCGTTTTACGGTTCAAGGTCCAGCACCTTCAGCTGTTTTTCATGGATGCTGTATTGATGAAGATAGTAGCGAAAGCAAACTGCTACACAAAAAAAGAAGAAAAAAGTAAAAAAGCTATGAACATTTCTGTTTTCAATCGCTCTGACAAGTCAGGCAGGACATCATGCTGGACGAATTCGAGGCATTTCTAGGAGTGTCGTACCCTTTTGAGCCTCTCGAGTGCCACCTTGTCTCGCAGGACCACGTTGCTGGCCGCTGGCGAAGCGAGTCCGTGCTGGCGCGAGACGTCATGCATCGCCGTGGACGTCAAGTCGCCCGACCCCAAGATGTCGGGGTTGGAGAGGCTCGACAGGAGCTCGCTGGGTGTGTGGTGCGAGCTCGAGCACTCGCTCGTGTTGCCTTCCTCCTCCGACAGGTTGCCCTCCGAGCTCAGCGTGGAGATAGACTGGCCGCTCACGGCTTGCCGCATCTGCGACAGCCTGCACACGTGGTCGTTGCCCAGTGTTGTCACCTTCGATTCGTGTGCACTGCGACCTACACTGCATTTCACCTTATGATGCATTGCAACAAACGTTACACGAGCCGCGTTGGTCAATCCCGCGCTCCATATGAGTCAGATGACTTCACGTTTCGTGCGTCCATTCGCAAAAACCGGAGGATTGTGTGGATTGGCTCCAGTAGCTCGTAGCATCTGTTGTGGTACATCGTAAGGGGAAATGGAGTACAGCCACGGCATTTGCTCGTATCTCTACGCCACTCATCAATGAGCCCCGACAGCTGCTCTTCGGCAGAGCAATAATATAGCAAATCGTCATAATCTGCAGGGGGCTGAGCAAAGAATAAAGTCGAGATAAAGGCTGTCGCACAAAAACATTACTGCACATCAATGCGGCGACCCCACGCAAATTTAAAATACCAAAGTTCCACATCACATTTTCAAAGAACGAACAATCCCCGGACCTCATAGGCCATTAGGCTTGCTCTGTGGATCGCATTGATTGCTCGTCGGCGTGCTCTGCAGAAAAAGGTAAGCGTTGCGGCATTGTTCGTAGATGGTGTGCAAATAATTAATACGCTAGTGATCCGTCTGAATCCAGGACCAGTGCTCACTCGCATTTTAGCCGTAAAAGTTAGGGCTAGTTCCCACATTTGTGTCCCGGTGTGAACGACTTGCAACTGCTTGCAAGAAAAAAGACGCACTGGCGTTCTCTAGTGGGTAGCTTTAAAACACTTACAATCTGCAAATCTTTTAAGCATAATTCTTCCACCGTGGGCTAGAAAGAATTCCCCAACAATTTAACAAGCAACCAAACTCGTAGATAGTGCATAGACTTCACCATGCAAATATTATGAAGTCTTCAGTCTAATTATGCACACGCCGGAAGTTTTCCGGGACTACCCGATAGGCGGCCCGGGTGCCAGTGTTTTCTCTCATTGTAAGCAGTTACAAGCAGTTGCGATGTGGTCAATCATCACAAGCAAATGTATGGACCAGTCTTCAGCACCCAGCACTAGGCCTTGCCGCAGAAGATGTGCACATTCCATTGTTACATGTCATTCCCAAGACGGTGTTCCAACCGAGCAAAAAAGGTGCGAGAAAATAGCAACAAAACTTTTGAGCTCACAGCGTTGTTCACTCAGGTGGCGAGGTTACAGATGGGCACAAACTCCGAGTCCTTTTTTCTATGCGAGAATCAACACAATTACCCTCAGACAAAATTAGGACTCGCCTTAAAAAAACAGTGAAAAATGGGAGAGCATGTCGTGGTATGTGCTGACATGCTATTCATTCAACACACAATGTTTGAACTAGTTAAGCTCTCGTTCGAACTTAGCTAGGTGACTTACCCCTTGTGGGCAGAGTAGTCGTCGTCTACTTCCCCTTCTTCCTCGGACGTAGAGAAGTCCTAGGGATGCAGTAGGTTGCATTAGAAGCAATTTTAACACCCCAACACAGTCTTAAAAAAAAAATAGCTAAGTGCAAGAATACAGTTTATTGCAATGTGGCAACACTGCTCAGCAATATGCCATGGCTAGACAGTGTTATGCACATTAAGGAACTATCGTTCAAAACAAAATAAAAACAGATGTATTTGTACTTGGCATTTTCAATAAGAACTGTAGGTGTTTCACACCACATAAATAAAGTCTGTTACAACATTGAAACTGCGAAAGAGGCTCCACCCACAAAAACCGGCGACCTATGTGCCAAGGTGCGTAGGGCATTAGCCGAAGCTTTGTTTCTTTTTGGCACCAACGTTGAAAACGGGGCACTGCCATACGCTACTTCCAATCTGTGACGTCGGACAAAGGATGTGTTTGTAGCGAGAGGTGTAGCAAAGCCCCTTCTCTCCTGGGAACTTAGGGGCGAAGACGTTCTTGATGTCCTCCCGTTGTAACTTGCGCGCGCACCCCAAAAAGCCAAAACTCAAATCCACCAACAGCAATGACAACAAGCTCGATTCGCAAACGACCCGACGAGTGACCTCACCTCCACGCTGTGAATTTTCCCCTTGGCGGCGTTCCGAATGTTTCTCCTCTGCACTCCAACGCTGGGCGGCGCAACCCGCGTGGGCGACTCGTCCGACATGACGCGCTTCCTCTGCAGCGACGCCGCGCGAGGTGACGTCCGCTCCACAATGGGCGCCTCCGGCCGTCTCAGTGGCTCCACATTCGACTGGCACGTCGTGCTCGGCCGGTTGCTGTTCAAGTCCTCCGGTGACAGTGCCTGATCGCCGGGGGACAGTGGAGTGTCGCTGAACCCAAACGACCCGTCGCTGCCGGGCGTCCGCGCATTGGTCACAACGTTGGAGTTGTCGTGGTCGCTGCCCGTGGCGGCCGCAATCGTCTCGGGGAGAACCGGTGGCGGGGATGACACTGACGGCGATGACGCGGGATCGGTGTCGCTGAACGCGTCGAGGTCTTCCGTCTGGGTCTCGCTGTTGACGAGCATGGGGCGGCTCGCCATCGAGCCGTAGCCGCCCGACCCGCTCCGGCGGTGCATCACACGCCGCGTGCGGGCCTTTGAAGACGGCGACGACGAGACAGCCTGGGGGTCCGGGACAGCTGCTGCAGGTGCGTCGGCCGTTTTCTGCTGGCTCTCGGTATTTGGGCTGGGAAAGAGAGACGGGAAACCTTCAGTCTGGGAGAGCCAGGATCGAGACGGGGGAAGGCAAACATTGCTTCGGACATGCCACGCCGTGCATCAGTGGTTGTCCATTTGTGCAAATCTACCGTAAATAGACCTATTGCTAAATTACCCGCACATCGAGGAGAACGCTGGGAATGTTGGTATACGCGCTGCACGCATTTGCCTTCCCCGTATAAAAGATTTGAAGTCAATAACCAAAATAAGGCGTTGACAAACGTGCATGCAAGGTGCCGTTCACTTTAGGCTTTTGCTTTAAAAGCGTTACTGCCGCAGACGCCAGCACGTGCAGAGCATGTAAATACGCTCGCAGCATGCTCCTCAGTGCTTGGGTAATTTAGCAAAAGGTCTATTCCCAAACATATGCTTACCTGCGGTGGCACGGCGGAAAATGCAGGGTGAGCAATCTTTCACGGTGCAACGGCAACCTTTTATAAAAACAATTTGCTAAGAACAGGTAGGAATGCGCTACAAGCTCATTTTTACATTGCACGAGGAAGAATGTCATTGCAATATTGATCTTACCAATCGATGGAAAAATCAATTTTTAGTGCGCCCAACAACAATTACGGTCCCTTTGCGGGTGGCCCATGGGGCAGTGGCTGCTTGCATTGGCAGCCCAGAAGGCCGGCATAAACACATCAAACTATCGCTGTTACTATTTACTAAGTGGTGCCACACGGGCAAATGAGCACCACTGTATCAGGAGGCAGCTTGCGCTCCCCAGCCAAGAGCGGCGGTGGCAATGAAAGGCGTGTGAGCCGCATACCTCCACCGCTGTTGTCTAGGTGGCACAAGCTGTCACCCGGTAAACTGGAGCGATCAACTGGATGTGCGTGCTGATTCGCACTTGCACAGGATTTTATTCTCTTTATTTTACTACTTTTGAAATTGAATATTTCCTCATTTAAATGCAATGGGCTGAGGTATGAAACGGTAAATAAGAAATCTTGGGATCTAGCCCATAGAAGCATATATCACTACACTGACATTGTAGTGAAAAATGCTCGAGGTACACCTAAGAACTTCTTAGGAATTGTGAATGCGAAAGCATGCAAGCCGGCCGTCCACTCTGTTTTTCGTCTGGTGCATACTTTTCGTCTCCGGTCAGCGCGCGTGCTCCTCTGGGCACGTGTTAACGGTGCGCTGATGGACATGCAGCGCCATGAAGTGAGCGGTCATGGAAACTGACAAGTGCAGCAGCCAATGGGAGCCCCGTCGACACGCGCCAGTCAATAGAACCGAAGGCGAAATCCACCAGCATTACTTCGCTCCTAATGGGATCGCGGAAACTAGGTGCCGTTTTCGCGCTTCAAACTGATGACGTCAGCTCGCTCCATGGGACAGTTAATGCTTTTGCATTAATAAAGTGCACTTAATCACATCAGATATGGCATAAATTTGATAGAATGGACAAAGTTTTGGTATTTCTCGTCCTACTCACGTTAAACCAGAAAAATGACACAGACAATCTCTAAGGGTGGGTGCCTGTTCAGGATTTTACGGCGTATGTTTAAACTTTGACATTTATGACCCCTTCTCTCCCCTCTTCCAAACAAACAAACCGAGTGCTTTGGTTTAGTAAGTTTTCTTTTGTGCTTTCAGTCCTAAAACTAAATGAATTGAGAAACAAACATACAGGGCTTTCTCGGGCCTTCATAGTCTAACAGAATTGCTAGACCATAAAGGCATATACCGTATTTACTCAAGTAATAGCCGCACTATTTATGAACAAGGCCCTTGCGTCTACTTTCCCACAGAACACATTCACAGCCAATCATCGCGTTGCGCATAAATAACATAACCAGTAACTAGATCAAGAACACGATTCTCCATACAAATGCAATCTTCACAGATGGCATCTTTGCGCAAGACGTTATCTCTGTCCTGTAAACCGCTTGAATCATGCTGTCGATCACGGTGATTGGCAAGCCGCATGCTCCGTGGAAAAGCGAACCCTCAGGTTTTCTTCATAAACAGTGCGGCAATTACTCGAGTAAATACGGTAGCATTTGGGATAACTGTGTCTACGGCCAAAGGAGATAGGAATATGAAACTATGAAGTACAAAAATTAGAAGTATAGATTACTCAGGTGGAGGAGATCAGTGGTGAACACAAAAACTTGGAGGCCTCTAAGAGTGGAACCCGACAAGCGTGCCTTGCAGGGCCTGGTCAAAAGCGTGTCTGGCTCACAACCGAACGGTCGTGGGTTTGAATTCCGCCTAAAATTCTTAAAACTTTTCTTTAAGGTAAATAATTAATTTATAAAGTAAAACCAACTGAGGCATGCAGCAACCTTTAATTCGCATTATATGTCATGTTTTAATCACTTTCCTTCCAGCGTGACGTCACATTTCAAATGAGTGTAGTGGGTTGTTTGAAATTTCTGCACGAGGTCATGTGGCTGCGACATCATGACCCTATCGACCAAACAGGACTTTTGCGTCACGCCACCGACGCCGGCTTTTCTGTGACACAATCTCCTTAATGCTATTGCGTTAATACAGCATTCATCAAGTAAAGGGTACCAAAATCATCATTAGTTTAAGGAAAAACATGGGCCTAAATTTCAGATCTTTTTCAAAAAACACATTTTTCAAATTTTAGGTTTTTAAAAGTAATTATCCACCCTTACAAAAATTTAATTTACACCCTTACACACCACATAGTTACATTGATATAATATATTTTCAACACATTGTGAGGCAAAGTGTGACAAGGTACAGGAGTTCAATGTTTGAATGCATTTTTCTCAGTTCCACTTTTTGCTGCAAATTTCATACAAGGAGGCTTTTGTTCGAAGGTAAAAGTATTCTGAGATCACAATCAAGGTGTCTTAACTGAAATCTACTGGGGAATTTTGAAGGAAGTTGAAGTCCTCGTTGAGAATAAACCATGTTTTCAAAAATTGGCATAGGACAGATATGCATTTCATATTTTGAGGTAGTAACTCTTCCTGAAAACTCACTGACAAATGAGCTTGTGCAAATGCACCATTAAAGGGGCCGTGCAACGATATTCACTTGGAATGTTTTCCACTTTACATGAGCTTACTGGCACTAGTGGGACCCAAGTATATACTGGCACACAACACCACTGGCCAAGAAACTCTTTTGTTGCAGTACAATTGCAAAGACAAAAGCGAGCGTTTTCTTTCAATCTCTCCTTCGCAAAACTTGATGACGTAGTTGGGGGGCCACAGTACCCCCCAATAACGATATTTGAGCTTCGTCTGAATTTACTCCTTTCCACGTAGCTTTGATCACTTCATATCTACTATAATTCCAGAGTGCCTAGAGTTTGATAATAACTGAATTTATTTTCCCTTTCCTAATTATATTTCCCACGTTCATCTTTCCCTAGGTACTTCCTTCACTCATTAAGCCCTGCCTCGAGATATTTTGTATTTTTCTAGGTGTTCTATTACCACGTCTTGTATTTTGAGCGCTTCTCTTTTTGTCGTCAAAGGGGTGGTGCAACGATATTCAAATAAGTAAATAAATAAATATTCAATTGGAATGTTATTCACTTGACCCGAGTCTACTGGCACTATGGGACTCAAGTAAACTCTCACACAACGTCATTGAACAAGAAACCTTTGTTGCGGTGTAATTTCAAGGTTTTCTTTCAATCTCTCCTTCGCAAAACTTGATGACTCAGCGTGGGTTTCGCAGTATCCCCCAGTGATGGTATTTGAATGCAGCTCATAGATTGGACCCGAGCATTGCGCAAGCACTCGATTTGGGCTCGTGATAATCATTAGCTCGACAAGCATTCGGGTAGTGGCCCGTGTCCAATCGTTGCAACGACAACAACACCCAAACTATAACGATGTCTGGAACTCAGCACGTGCCATGTGCTTTGCCAACCTTAGCGCATGGCTATGATCAACATTGGCGATATATAACCGGCTCCAGATCACGTAGCCCCTTGTTCGGGCTGCAAGTTGAGGGGGTGAACGCTGCTTGTTTTTGCTTCATTTTTTTCAATGACTTCTATTGCGTGTGGTGAAAGACGAACATGCTTTTCATAGATCATTAACGTCAGGGATTCGTTCTAAGTGGTGTTTGCGCAAAGGACAAAAATCGTTGCATCATCTTTTTAAAGTGATGCGTCTCCTTTGAAAGAAAAACCTTAAACCCAACAAACTACCTTTGAATATGACATAATAGAAAGCAGCCCAAAACTGACCAAAGGTATTTATGTTAGAAAATGGAGCGAGACAGATGACAATCCTTTAACTTCTCTTTGCATAGTAAAGCACCAATAAATATTGCCTTCCTGTTGGCAATGGGATGTTTAGGTGGTGCCCTCTTAGGGTGTCTACCCCTGATATCAAAACCAGGATCATCAGCTATGAAGGAAAAGTTTGATCGTATCTGTAGAATGGAAGCTTGGAGTCATTGCATTCTTAAACCAACACCGTCGAAGCTGACAGTCTGATTTTGTTTTATTTCCGTCAATGAAAGCATAACTAATTCTAGGTACTCAAGATATCATAGTTAACGTTTGGCCAATGGTGGAAAGCCAATCACAGGGACGGCCATGCACACTGTCGATGGCCAGATTACCACAAGGAAATTCCGCATTACCTTGGACAAAAGTCAGCACACCACTACCCTCATTCTTTTTACACCTGCGATGACATGCACATTCATCACATTATCTCATCTCATAAAAAACATAACCATAACATAGTCTGCCTATTCACCCCTTTAGAAAATGAAAAGGCACAAGGAAGGCTACGTAGATGAGCTCATAGCAGTGATGAAAGCAGCATTGGACCTTTTGTAGCAGGTTCACTAGCAGGTATACTCAAATTAACCAATATTAAAATATTTTTATTTTTTTCTTTGTTTAAGGGGACACACCCCCTAGGAGGGTCAACTTTTGAACCCTTGGCTTAACATTACTGAAATTTACAGGGTAGGCTGGTGGTCATGCTAGAGGGGGCATAACAAAATTTCATGTCTGTCGGGGGAAGGAAATTAGGACAGCTTTTATCAGCAACACGCCTACATTGTTTAGTTAATCTATCATTGGAAAACTATCACAATACTCAAGATTTTTATTTGCTAGATATGTAGCAGAATGCCTAGGAGGTGCGGCTATGGAAAGCTTTTTGTAAAAAGTCATTTATTTCTATAAATTTTCTCTTCTGCAAAATTGGTCAACTTTTTGGTCTTCTGTGTCTTTGACAAAATGTCAACATTTCTTTATAAAAGACATCTGTAAAGTGACAAAAACATTCCACAGCCGCATTCCTTATTAATTTTCGGTCAGGAAAAGTGAAGACCGAGCCTTCCCTGTATTGCCATTATCAAACGATAGGTTGACTAAAATGGAATTTATACTAAGAAGTGGAACGGAGAAAAATGTGTTCAAAATGCTCCAAACCCTACCTTTTCTTTAGCTTCGGTGGACACAAAATAATTTATAAAAAATTAACTATGCAGTGTAAACTAGTGAAAATTTCTGAAAATATTTTCTAGATGTTGGTGGATGTAAATATGTAATTTTTCAAAATCAACGTTTTTTTCTGATATTTTTTTCTGGGTAGTGTCCCCCCTTAAGCCTACTTCAACGCAGGTGTGGCGCAATTCTTTAAAAAGAAATGGTGCTTTGGTGCGAGGTGTAACAGACTTTCATTCATGATGCAATTTGGCGCAAATGGCGCAGCCCTTCCATCACTAGGCTCATTTGATTTACCTGCACTTCATGCACCAGTGCAGAACAGTGTAGGGCGGCATACTTCCGGTCATATCTCAATACATATACCAGAAGTACAGTGGCCTGCACTTTTCTGCACCGGTGCAGGAGATGCAGGTACATTGAATGGGTCTACTGTCATACCTCTAAAAGATGCAGAAGCAGCTCACAAAGCCAAGAGCAAATGGCACAAAGCCATTTGCTACACACTCTTATCAAGGTGGAATGGAATACGGATCTTTTAATATACTTCAAAGACAAAATAACTTTCATATTATATTGCTTCAGCCTAAACCAACAAAAGAGCTATTACCTTAGTGGCTCAGGGGGTAGCCTGTACAACCTCTTCTTACTGAAGCGCTCCTGCGCTAGGAGCAGAGGACGCTCAAAGCGCTTCTTGTATGCTCTGTGGTCGGAACCAATGGCCAAGCTTGCTTCTTTCCTGCAATTGCAAACACAAGCAATCCGCACACCATGCCACCGAATCACCTCAGGTTGAAATTTCTCACTGATTTTGTCCAAAGTATAACAAGTCCCGATATTACAGCCCAAGTGGAACAACCATCCAAATCGCTAAAGATTAAAACAAACCACCAAATTCTTCAGAGAGGAAAATGTTTGCACTAAAACGGCTTGCAAATCAAGAAACTAATTGCAGATATTCATAACATAAAAAAGCCCAACCACCTGGGATGCCTCTCACATGCCTTATCCACGTCACCCCATGTCGGCGCGTACTGCTCGAGGTCACCCGCAACAACGCGACATGCGGGACAGGCTGACTTCTGTTTTGGCCAGATCTCGGTGTCCACCCTAGAAGCGGCTCGCCAGGCAGAGAGACCAACCAGAGTTGTGTGTGACAGAGGTGAGGCCGGTCACAACCTCTGGGACATCCAAGTCAGTCTCCGTGCAGTCAATGCAGCAAGGCATACGAATGGTTCGAGACTGACACATAATATTCCTGTACAATTACAACGAGAAGTTTGTAAGCTCTAAATAACCTTCTTCGTGCAGCAGCAATACACTGTAACCAGGTGGTTCTGGCCGGTTGTCGGATGGTCTAGAAGATCTAGCGATACTGCGCGTGTCCCCATGGGGTTGGCCGCCCTTATCAGGCACATGCTAATGCAAAGAGACGCCGATCAAGTGCGTGAAAAATGTGCCCACGTGGTTAGGCCTCGACACGGCCCAAACGAGAGAGACAGGGAAAACAACTTAAACCAAAGCAATGAGGCGAGGCATAGCCCAGTCTTGCTTGAACAGCCTGTGCCAAAAAGGTGCCTTACTCAGGGGGTGGGGAACCGAGGAAATTTGGACATTCCAAGAACCCCCCCGGGCCACTGCAAAAAAACACACAATCCACCCTGGAGCAGAATCGCTCACCGAATCACTTCGAGCTCGCGTTGCTCCACTTGCAGCATGCAGGCTGTCAACTCAATGTAGAGGTTGTTGGTGCGCTCGAGCTTGCGCTCATAGTGTAGCCGCATGTCCTGTGCGTGCCTCAGCTCCTCGCGCCAGCGTTGGAACAGTTCCTCCTTGCACGGAAGGCCATCCTGCTTGATGTTCTGCATGTACTCTCGGATCTCCTCCTTCCACGTGGCCTGCCGTGGGGAATGCACAGTGTCAGTCTTTGGACCCATGTCCAACCTTGGGGGTTTCACGTGACAGCTACCGTAGTGACTCGAGTCTAGCGAAACCCTTTAAGGTTAAAGTTTGCAAGTCTACTCTAGCACAGCATGCAGAGAACCAGTGATTTGAATTAAAGGGAGGTCATGTTCGGAACCAGGAAAGCAATCTGTACAGGGACTCCGAGCACGGTGACAACATTTTGCTTAGAAGCTTTGCTCTCAGGCTGTGGCTCTCACGATGTTCAGATGTCGGCTCTCCAGCTAATCGGTGATGGTATTGTAAGGTGTCTGCATTTTGCTATATTTGTAGGTTTTCAAGGTCATGCTAGTATCTCAGAGCTGTTCTTTGTAAAAATAAGAGAAGAATGTTGGCCTTGTTAAAAATATCTGAAGAGTCACAACAGAAAACAGTTTTATAAACCTTTGCACACAATGAGAGCAAGCCGTTTCCGGGAAAAGGCAACACCAGCAACCAGCTCCATTACTCTAAGTCCGATCAAGCTACAGTCTCGATTACATGTATGTTCGACCGATAGGTATACCATGCCTTTATTGTGTTAACCAATTTTCCACCTGCCAACTTCTCCAGCGAGCACAGTGCGATATTTGCATTATATTGGTACTGGTTCCAAAAGCTACTGGTGCATTTAAGCAGCCGTAGGGTCAAAGGCCCATTTGCCTGCAGTGCCATCATTTCTATGAACTACCACAAGGATCATGCCAGCCTAACCCACTCCCTCAAGGGGCCCTACAACATACCATTTCTTTCCTTTTTTGGGTGACACATGGCAGTACAGGATGCTAAACACAAAAGCTGAGACATGTTTCGTACACCAAGCTTTCAGACATCATAACATTGCGTTACATGTGCATAAAAAAAACTTTCAGCCTTTCCACTCTGGCGAAGAAGGAAGAGCAGCGGAGCTGTAGCTTCTGTTCTCGGCGGTGGCTTTCCAGGCGAGCGATCTGCTCTTCTTTCGCAAGAGAATCTGAAGCGCTCGATGCAGTGGAACTTAAGGCGATAGCAGCTTCGAGGCGGTTGCAGAATCATTCGCACTGCTGCAAAAATTGCCGCTCGTTCCGCTCCCACTCATCTTCCTCCGAAGAAAGGTTGCCACCATGTATGAGCGACAGCGGCAACCAGTTGTTTGGTTGATGCCGTCGCTCATAGATGATGGTAGCTGTCCAGAGTTCGATGTCATCATTTCTAATCCGGCGGACACAATCCTGGAGAAACTAGCCCTTAACAGCTCCGCTGTAAAAAAAAAACCAACTAATACCTGAACTGTAAAGCAGTAATGCCATACCATGCCTACCAATGCAGCAGGAATAGCACTTATGTGCGAGTCTCAGTGCGATAGGCACTGTGTGCGACTTCCAGTAAAATACTAAGCACTCTGTGCTTAGTGGCCCAATGCCCAGGAATTATTGCACCCATCAGGCAAAATGAGTGCACGAGATGGCAAAACTCCAAGGCCACAACGAGCCACATCACGAACCTGAGTTCGGAAATATGTGTCCTTGGGTGTGCTCAAAATTTCCACAGCCGCGAGGTCCAGGTGCATGAGAATCTGTCGAAACGACGGCCTGTTGCGTGGCTTGGCGCTCCTAGAAACGAGAACAAGAGTTCCCAAAAATGATGGCTGTTTAACTGGGGAAACGGTCAGCCTTACAACAGTTCGGCCAAAGCGAGCTACGTACCAGCATTGCTTCATGAGAAGCCGGAAGCCATCGGGGCAGGTAGTAGGTATGGGCAAATGCAGGCTGTTGCTGCCGACACCCCAGATGATTGCGTTGGAATCAACGTCTTTGTATGGCGTTTCACAGCTGAGCAGCTCCCACATGACCACCCCGTACGACCTGCATGCAACCAGGGAGAGAGCACAGGGACGACCACCATTCAAGCATCGTTTCTTTGAAGCACCACTGCACTTGCATGAGCTCTGGAATGGAATGCAGTCAGCATGATCGCTTAAGCCCTCACTGAATGGGACTCAAATTCCCCGGCTTTTTATGCATTTCTTCTGACAGCCTTGGGAAAATTTGCCATAATTGTTTTCACCCCAAGAGCTAGAATAAAAAAATTTCAGCTCTTAAAAAAGCGCTTACAATTTTCGCATTTATGCAGTGAATCCAGAAACTCACGTAAGCATTAAAGGTCAGTTACTAATGAAGAATACACTGTTGGCTGGGGGATGGATGGATGGTGTGTGCATGTGTGTGTGTGTGTGTGCGGGGGGGTTTGAATGGACGAGATGTATATCCTTTTCCCACTAAATTTAGCCGGCAATGCTTCCATTGCTCATTCTATTCCAAAATTCGACGGAGGTGAATTCTGTCTTCACAGCAGTTTGGTGGGAGCCTAAGCATTAATTTTGTTCTTTTATAAAAACGGACACATTTTAAGCACAAAAAAAAAAAAAAAAAAAATACTATATTTTTTTTTAATGTGAATTGTTTATTGGCTAGGTTTTTGGGCGTTTTCTGAAGCCAAGATAAAAGAGTGGCTGCACAGCTCTACACTGATTGGCTGCGAGTAAGGGGGGGGGGGGGGAGAGGCTATCGCAGTAAAACAGTGTTTGTGCCAGGTGGGAATCGAACCCAGACCATTTAGATTATTAAGCGAGTGCCTTTCCAGCATGTCAGCATGAGACCCAGATAAAAGCGTGGCTGTGAGGCTTGACACTGCTTGCTTGACAGGTGGGAGAAGAGGGGTGAGGTGCTCGACGCTGAGTGGTTAACGGGGAGGTCATGTGACCAAAGAGAGTGAGAGAGAGAATAAACTTTATTATACGACTCAAGATCCAGTCGTTTGTGATCAGAGGGGTCGGCAAGGAGGAGTAATGTAGGTGAGGAGGAGTTCGACCACCTGTGCGCACTGAGGGAGAGGAGCTCACCAGTATGGAAGGCTCTGGAAGATCGCCCTAGGTTTATCAGCCCGATTAGCGATGATGTCGCTTCATTCTAAAAACAACTATCAAGCGTACATATGGTAAGCATTAAACTATCTGATGAAGAGTGCCGTGGACGTAGGCGTCTGGCGTCCGGAAACTCGGAGCATCACAAATTGATTGTGATGCTAGAACGTTTCACATATGCAACACAATTGCCCAGCAATTTTGCATAAATTGTTTATTTTCGATCATACCCAGTAGGAATTACGGTAGATCCTTTTTGATACATTTTTGCATAATACGTTTTCCGGTACAAATGCTTGTATTAATTTCCTGTTTGTTGCATTTGTCTTCCCAGCTGTTGCTCATTTTTCTGTCTTTCTCTGGCACGCACACACACGCTTCTGCCATGGTTCATGGCTTGGTTCCCCCCGTTGGGCTAGTTTCATTTTGTGTGGAGTTCCAGAGTTCCGAATCCAGCACCATGCCACTGTGCACAGCACGCTCGCATCAAGCTTTCCCCTTTTTTACCGGTGCATGCATCAAGCTTTTCCACATTGCACTGGCAAGCTCGGAGCAGCAACTGACACGGTGCAGCGTCTCGATTAGCCCAATGGGTTAATCAAGACGTCACTCACTCTCGTAGGTCCACATTCTGATTGGGATTATAAATCCACCTCTAGTTCTAAATAACAATTCTGAAAAGAAGCTGACCTGTATCTGAACAAATAGAGTAGCCCTCTATAGCTGTGAAAGTCCACGAGAAATATATTGCTGCGTGAAAGTTGTTCACAGTTTCATTAATTGGTTCCCAAAAATATTATCAGTTGTTAAGTACCAAATAAATAAATAAATAAAGCTTTCCCGGGTTGTGTGTTTTTTTGTTGCGGCTCCCCGAACAATGCATTAACGAGATTCTACTGTACTTTGCACAGTATTTTCACTCTACACAAACCATGCTGTTTATTGTTTAGGTGACAAGTAAAGTTGGGTGAAATAATGGTGGTCTAAAACCATCAATAATGGCAATAATTATCTAAATGGGTTCTCTACAAGGGAATTTAGACCTACATTCAGAAGATGCATCGAGACCTGCATGGGCTCTGACCAATGGGTAGCATCTGCGGGCCTTTTCCTTTTTTAACAATAGTGCCCTGGTACATGCGCAGACCTTGAACTGGTTTGGAGTACACGTATATAAAGTTTGCAACGTCGCCACAAGATGGAGCCATAGCCCCACTGTTTGTAGAAACTGGCTAGGACCCACCTTCTGCAAGTGCCAACAGATGGCGGTGGAGTGCACATTTCTAAAGACTTGGCAACAGGACGCACAGCAACGGAAGCCGCACTGGATCGGCTGGTTATAGGAAGCGACGCCCTGACGTAACACCTAGTAACCGAAGGTCGCCGGAAGCGTCCCCCTTCACGAATTTTGGAGCCACGCAGTGGGGGACGGCAGGTGTATCACTGGGACGCGTGTTAACCAACCCCCACCCCCCCACCCACCCCTCCCTCCCCTCTCCCCCCCCCCCCCCCCCCACCCCCCCCCCCTTTTTTCCCGTTCACGCTGCTTCGAGGCAAAAGTCTGCGGATGGTTCATTACAAAATAATCACCCCACCATGGGCCACCTGTACATGCCACCTCGCGGCACACCCGTCGGTGACCCAAGCGCGCCTTAGCTCCGCTGTCCCCCACTGCACTTGGTTGCTAAGCATTACGTCACACAGTCTTTCTCTATAACCAGCCAATCCTGTGCGGCCGCCGTCCTTCATGCGCACGCTAAGTGACCCGATCTGCTTGCACCAGGGAGAAGAGGGGTTTCGGGAATGTTCACCCCCACAGAAAAGTGTTGAGAGGTTGCATTCACCATGCTTTCTTATATATAACCGCTGCGCAAAATGCCAACGCATTTCTTCAAGAATCAGCGCGGTGGCAGCAGCGATTTCGGCCCATTTTTTATTACAAACCAAACCCAACTACAGCTTATAGGTTTGGTGACTAACTGCACACGAGTTGGCGGCATATGGGAAGTAAAGTAGTTTTGCGGGTTTTTCTGGCTATAGTCACTTTTTGGCCAAACTGAAATTTTCAGGTGCTTCAAGGTCTTCCTCTGTTTCCCTTGTCAGAAGACTCACTGTAATATGCTGCCATGAACTTGGTGCAATACCATTAAAGCAAAATGACGAAGGAAAAGAGGGACAAGAAGGCACCCACCAAATGTCCACCTTCTCCGAGCAAGGCTCGTTGCGAATCACTTCGGGAGCCATCCATGCCACAGTCCCCGCAAACGACATCTTGGTGCTGCGTTCGTTCCACTGGCGGCTCGTGCCAAAGTCCGAGATCTTCAGCACGTCATTGTAGCTGATGAGAATGCTGCCAACCAAAATGCCAATGCTGCATTTTTGTACCCAAGCAATGCCACAGTTGCCGTTCTCTCCCCCCAAAAAAATCCAGACTGGACTCACTGAATATCAAGACTTTAAAACCTTTCCTCTCACTTTACACCAGCTTGATGCTTAGGCCAAATGGCCTAAGCATCAAACTGGTGTTGAAATTGCATTGCCACATTCAGCATCTTAGCACAGGACCACACGTATCTTTGCAAGTCTCGATCTAAAGAGTTGGCACAAGCGGACCTTCCGCTGTAAAACGAGCCGGAAAAATCGTTAGCTGCATATAGAAAGTTCAAACTTTCATCAAATATGCACTGAGAAAGTCAGTCTTACCGTGTAAAATTTTAAGGCGTAGCTCTCTTCCTGTAAAAACATAAGAGCAAAAAACTTGCCAAAGTCAAGGTTGGGTGCATTCACAGACAATCGAGTCTGCTGCGCCTATCGGGAAATGGTGCCTCATGTAAACAGCATCGCTGAATCGGTCGTCTGCTAACGCGCCCAACCTTGACTTTGGCAAGTTTTTTGCTCTAATTATTTAAAAGAAGTAAACAATATCTTGAAATTTCACACAGTAAAACTGACCTGCTCAGCGCACATTAGATGAAAGTTTGAGCTCTCTATGTGCAGGCGCCTATTTTTCCGGCTCGTTTCACAGTGGAGGGTCTACTTGTGCCACCCTATACATGGATTTGAAAAGCTGAAAGAGCAATTAAGTCGGAGGACAGACGGTTCTGCTCCAAGGCTCGTGGCAAAGTTGTCACGACAGGTACTAATCGGGCCCCAGTTTCCTTTTCCTGCAGACACCAGAAAGCCGCGGTCCTCAAAGACTCAGCGAGTCCAGTTGCAGGTGCCCACTCACTTTGGTGACTTGAGATCCCTGTGAATGATGTTCCTTGAATGCAGGTAGTTCATGCCAGAGGCAATGTGCTTGCTCCATTCCACTACAGTTGCTGGCGGAATGACGCGGCCGTTTTTCAGGGCATCATACAGCTGCCCGTATGGGCAGTATTCCATCACAATGCAGTAGCTTGGAGGCTGCGTGCATACACCCCTGTGCAAAGACCAAATATGAACGGTTAGTCACGAAACCTATAAAGTGCAGATGAAAAATACACAATGAAAGGAAAAAAAAAAACAAGTTCGACATGCTTAAAATTAAATTAGAAAAAAACTTCCCTTGCTAATGGCCAAAAATTTTAACTCAACCAAGAAATGTCCTTGAGCAAAGTCTGTTTGCTCACAGCCCCACAGGCTTATCACGTAATATTTCAATACACAAAGTCCATGCAAGGTATGATTACCCAAAAGAAAAATTATGCTTTTAACCTTATAGAGGTTAAAAGCATAATTTAAAAAAGAATGCCGTCCTTACAAGCGGCAAGGTGTGCGGATGCTTGTGCACTCTAAGCACTTATCAAGCTACACAAGCGCAACTTTAATTTCCTTATGTGCTTACCCACACGTGCAGCATGCAGCACGCATGGGGCAGCCAAAAACTTTGCTATTGACGTCCCATCCAGGGGTTGTGTTTCATTGTTTCTTACATTCAGTAATATTTGCAAGTCAAATAGTTGTCATACATGAATTTGCCAAATAAAATAAACTAAAATTCACCTGAAACTTTTTTAGAAACATTTTAAGTTTTTTTTTTTTTTTATGCCTTTACAATAGCAAAGATATGCTTGAATTAATCAAGGTAGTCGACTTAATGGCTAACCTCAAATTGGTGAAATAATAGCATAGATCATTTTTCACCACTGCTATCTATACGACCGCAATTTCTTGCACGTACCTGAAGGCAACAATGTTGGGGTGATTCAACTTGCGAAGGTGCTTGATGTCCGTTTCACTCTTGTCAGTGACCTTCTTTACGGCAACGCATTCGTCCCCGAGCTGGCCTAGAAAGACGACGCCTTGTGCCCCACTGCCCACGAACTTGAAGTTGTTGATGCTCTCAAAGGGAATCTCCCAGCTATCTCCTGAAAAAACCAGAAGAAACTGAGAAACCACTTTGTTTTGGCATAGTGGTTTCCGGATTCAGTCAATTCAGGTCTGCCAAACTGACTGAATCTGCCACAAGACCTTAAGGGGGGACATGGGCCTGAGCTTCAAACATGGGCCTGAGCTTCAAATTTTTTTTAAAAAATCCATTTTTCAATTTTGAGGTTTTCAGTTTTAGAAACTAATTATACACCCTTACATTAAATTTCATAACCATGCGCCGAATAGTTACGTTGATATAAAATATTTTCAACACATTGTGAGGCAGTAACAAAGTAGAGGAGTTCAACGTTTGAATGCATTTTTCTCGGTTCCACTTTTTGCTGAAAATTTCATACGAAGGAATCTTTTGTTTGAAGGTAAAATTATTTTGATACTACAATCAAGATGTTTCTGAACTAAAATTTACTCGGGAATCGGGCTATCTAGTTTATTTTGTTTTACATTAAAGTCCTCATTGAGAAAAAACTATGTTTTCAAAAATTGACATAGGACAGATATGCATCTCATATTTTGAGGCAATCACTCTTCCTGAAATATTTACATTTAAGTTATAAAAACTAAATAGCCCGAAGTCCCACATCCCCCACTTTATACTCAAGCACTTAAAATGGTGCCTAATAGCTTCCTTTGCATATCATAGATTTCTTAACGAAGAGTGACACATCTTCTTATGCAGGTATGTAAAGTTGCCCCAGAGAGCTGAAAGTTTGCACAGTACACCTACATCTGAAGTTAAATCTCCCCTGAAAATTTCATTCCAATCACTTGAGTAGTTCAAAAGTTCAACCTCTAGCCAGTGTCCCCCCTTAAAGCCTAACAGTCAATTTATGTGATTTTCTTTGTATGCAGATATTTAGTAGACCATAATATATACGAAAAAGAAGAGGTTCTAGTTTGAATTTCCACTCGATAATGATTAATACCATTAATTACCCCTCAAGGGTGAAATTGGTGTTTAACTAGAGATAAAGGACCCAACATTGACAGCAATAAAATGCAACCTAATGCTTTCTTACGCTGAGAAAAACGTGCCGAGGGTGGGCCAAAAACGGGTGCCTCGGATCCGTATCGGCCCAATAATCATACAGCCCACTGGTCTTTTCTACAGGGCAATTCATGAATGTTAGGGAGTAACCACCACAAATCAGTTGGCATTTAGTATGTACACGACAACCAGAACGTAGTGCCCCTCTAAGGCACGGTGCAAGATATATATAGGTGTACCGACCGCGCGTCGCAGTTGCTACAAAAAGTCCTCTCCTCATTTTGGTTGCAAGCGGCGCCACCAGATGACTCGATAAGGAGGTAGTGGTAGACGCCTGTCGGAGGTATGGTTTCCCCATTCTTCTCCAAGGGAGACATGCTTGTTTTAATGTCATGTGGATGTGTCATGTCATGTGGAACTTGGCACCAGCACTAAGCGTGTTGCTTAGACACAGCTTAGTCATTGACCCTAGCTTCGTGCTTTAAAGGGGCACTGACACCCCAAAGGTCGTATTTATTTTTATTGTCTAAAACGATGCAAGTTGCAGCCATAGACACGCAAAAAAAACCGCATCGCGAAAAAAAATTTTCCCGCGCGCACGCGCGCCTTTTTATTTTTGGCGTTTGATTTTCCCGCTTCTCGCCTCCTCGCTTCTTTTGATCGGTGACGTCAAAAATCAGGAAATTTAGAAGCTTTGTAGGCGGCATCTTTATAACATTTAATGACGGCAATCCTAAAACATGTTTTTTAACGCAATTGCGAACGCACTACGGCCCTTCTTTTTGAAATACCAAAAATCGGGAGTTCGTTGTGGTGCCGTCTCCTGGATTTGTATCCTCCAACGGAAAACAGGCGACACCGCTCAAAACCGGTCCGCCGCAACGCCGGCGCTAGCCGGTGCTCGCTCCTTTCCTCCTCGCTTTGGGTCGCCATGGCAACAGCAGGGAGTGGTGACAGGAAAGGGGACTCTCAGGTCTCCGCAATTTTTGACGTCAAGGCACCGGCGCCGATCGCGCGGGAACTTCGAATTCGGCATTTGGAAATTGTTTTTTTACTTCACGAATACTGAATTCCCAAATTTCAAATTTTGAGGGTAATGTCCCGGCATCGTTTTCGACCGTTTCGGATAATAAAAAAAAATATGATTTTGATGTGTCAGTGCCCCTTTAACGGCGGCAAGAGCAGTTTTATGTATGCATTGAAGCCGAGAGATCTCTGGCACGCTGTTCAAGCCAGGGTCCATCGAGGTCAGGGTACACTCACCAAGCGGAAAGCACATGCACACATTTCTGTGGCAATGAGACCCTTCTTTTCCCCTTATTTTTCGTTTCTACAGTTACGTAGACTGGTCGGCAGAGGTGCTATGGGCAAAGGCTACTCGGGTGTGCACCGAGACTTTATCTGGTCGATCGCATTGCTGTGTTTGTTATGCTGTGCGTCCACCCCAATATATACCTTACGCCGTGGCCATGGGTAACCACACAATCCCACAGATGCTCTGAAGCACGCTCGCGGGAGGTCGACTACTTTACCCTGTCCCTTGCGCTCGTCAGCACTGGCTGTGTTGAGGATGCTCCAGACGGGACGGAGGCAGCCCAGAAGTCCGTCAAACCACCCTCCCGGACTGGCCCGCGTGGCGCCCTCCCGGTACGCCACCTCAAACTCTTTGGCCGAATGCGGCCGGCGGTCTGTGAGCGACTGGTCGCTGGGCGACCGCACCGGTGGCAGGCTCACGACCCCCAGGGGAACGCCGCACGCCGTCACGGGGCTTTGCTGCTCTGTGCTCAGCTGGTTCAGCTCCTCATGGATGCACAGCATGCTGCACGGTCCACCGTTTTCAGCATTACACCACTTTGAAATTGCTGGGTAGGAACCGAGGCATCGGTAAGAACATAAGCACTACGCAACCTCAGGCAACAAAGCTAGATCCTGCAAGCTACATTGAGCTGCCCCCTCCCTCCCTCCTCCTCCTCCCCCCACCCCGAGTTTGTACAAAGAAGCCTCTTTCCCTCCCTTTCCAATCAGAGGAAAGAAAGGAAAAGATGACTAAATACTGTCGAAACCATTTAAACAGGTGGCAGCAGCTATTTCGAAAATCATGGGTTGGAGGGCACCCCCTCGGAGATTAAAAGCACTAGATGGAATGTAGGCTACAGCAACAAAATACATATACTCCGTTTGCCGCTAAGCTGACAGGGTGGTGGAAAGTACATGCTTGCCAACCCAGTCAACCATTGGTTTTGCACCACGTGATTACTCTACGCGTATATTCCAATCGGGCAGCAAAAGGCAGGCGAGCGAATGGAACAGCAAACACATAGCTTCCACCGTTCTGTCAGCTTGGCGGTGAACAAGCTAGAGCACTGCACGGGCCTACTTTTTAAGGCCCGGCCCGCTGACTCTCAGTCGTCCCTGACCCGGGCCTGGCCTGATGAGATGCCCACTTGATCAGGCCCGAGCTCGGTCTGACTGGAGGCGCCTCGACTGTGGGAGATAAGCACATCTCGGCCCAGCGAGAGGCCGTGGCGTGCCTCAACTCCTAAATCCCAAGCAGCCTGGGAAAGTGTCGGTGCACTCAATATGCTCAGGAACAAAACTGCTGCTGCTTTGTTCCCAGCTCGGGCTGGGCCCGAGGGCAATCGTAATAGTCGGCCAGCGAACCGAGCCCGGGCTTTCAGGTTGGCCCGGGCCCATGCAGGGCTCTAGAACAGAGTATTTGCCTTTTGTTTGGCAACAAACTCAGTGGCATTATCTATCGGGTAGCCTTGGTACACCCCTGGTCCGCGTATATTTGCCAATAATTTGACGCAGTATTCTTTCACGATAAGAGTGAATTACATCCGACGATGCTTATCGTACAAATTATCAGGGAGGGCCAGGTGCAACAGCTAAAGGCATCAACTTTTTTTTCAGTTAGGATAAAATATAGTTGTAGAACCATCTTATTTGTCAATCTAAAAAACGCTGGTACTTCATGTTGAGGCGAATACTTTCTTTTTGTACTCTGCCAACCTCGACGCACGCCACTTGCATGCTATTTGTAAATGTTTCCTTTCCAGATTGGAAACACAACTAGCAGTGTATTGTTTCACCACAAATGAGGCTTACCCTTAGAACACCATATTTCCTGATCTATAAAGCGCACGACTGCGTAATATGCACCACAAATATTTTTGTTTATTATAGGCCAAAAAAAAATTTGTCTAGCAGTTTATGGGTGATGGACATGACTATGGTTGAAGATTGGGCTAGTTGGTAGGTCATTACTAAAAACGAGCAGCACCGAAGACATAAGCAGAAAAGAGGAGACAAACAAACCACGGCAATGAAGTGAGTTCACCTCCACTTCTCTGAGTCTTTGGCACCAGACGTGAGATATATGTAAGGTTCCATGTTTTCGGATAAATCCAATAATATCCAAAACACACTCGCAGGTAAAAATTTCGTCAATTCAGATTTATACAAAAAAAATAGTGTCGGTCCTGAGGAGAGCCCCAATAACAGCTTTTTTTTAATCTCGGAAATGGTGACAACAGGGGGTTTACTGTATATCTCATCAAGGTTTGTTCAGGACAACTGGTTATTGCACTTCTGGGTCACGGCAAAAGACACTGTTCCGGTTTCCAGTTTGGACCATACTACTTGTACATCTTAGAGGAAGAGGAGTCGTGTTTTAAAGTGATAGCTTTATGAGCGACAGTTTGCAAAGATTTCATCCTCCTCCCTCTCTCTCCCCTCCCCTCCCTCTGCCCTGCCCCCCCCCCTCCCTCCCCCCCCCCCCCTCCCTCCCTCCCCCCCCCCCCCCCCCCCCCCCCCCCCCGTTGCCTGTCATCGCTGCGCGCGAAAAATGGAAAAACTTTGTTTTCCATTTTTCAGACACCAGGAGGTGCTGTATGACAGCACCTCCTGGTGTCTGCTTTAAGGCGCAGAAAGAGGGGCGGTATCACAATCTTTGATTAAATTTTTAATAGAAAAATCGGTTGCTCACGAGTATGATTTTGAGTTTCTTAGTATGCTTAAGGCCCATAGATTGAGTTACCACCATTAATAGACAATCTCAGGATCCACTCAAGTGCCCTCTAAAAGTGCGCTTTGATTGACTGACATGAGAGTGTGTCATATGGGTAACAAAAACGTACAATGCTAGGAACTCATTTCCATTCCATTTGTTTTCATGTACAGTGCACATACACCTGAGCATGCATTCACTGAAGTGTACCAAACAAGCAACAACGCCCAGTTACCTTGAAGGCCCTTGCCCAGCTTAGTACGCCTCTGAAGAACCAACAAACTACTACAAAATGCTCCGACGGGCTTTCGAGACTGAAGTGTTAGGACCAGAGGTCGGCATTTTAGGTCGCCCTCACTCACCCTCACCCTCACAGTCACACTCACCTAAGCCCCTCACTCACCCTCACCCTCACAGCTACACTCACCTTCAGCCCCTCACTCACCCTCACCCTCACCCTCACACTCACCTTCAGTCCTTCACTCACCCTCACTGAACCTCACGGCCCTCACGCACTCACCGCCCTCACGCCCCTCACCGCCCTCACGGCCCTCACGCCCCTCACTCACTCACCGCCCTCACGCCACTCACGGCCCTCACAGCCCTCACGCCACTCACCGCCCTCACGTCACTCACCGCCCTCACGTCACTCACCGCCCTCACGCCCCTCACCGCCCTTGCGGCACTCACACCCCTCACGCACTCATGACCCTCACGCCACTCAGGCCAGCTTCAGATGGGGCGATTTCGCCCAGAAACTTTACGTCGCAACACCAGCAACACGGGCCGCCCACGATCGCACGCAGCAACCAATTGCTGCAATTTGCCATCGTCATCATAAAATTTTATTTTTCTTGCACTATTTAGACACAATTACGCGTTATAAACGTGTTTTTATGCATTTAAACCTCGTTAAGAATGCTAATGCACCTTTCTGAAACAGTTTATTTCCAAAAAACGATCGATTTCAAACCAGAACCAAGTCTTTCGGTGTCATAATCACCGGCACGAGGTATCACGTGAAAATTTTGCGTCCCTGATTGGATGCAGCCGCTTCAAACGTATTCGAATTGCTCCGAGTTGCTTGCTTATTTCGAGCCGGACCCGATCTCAGCAATTCGTGTCGATCTAGGGAAAGCTGGAGAACAACCCGCCATTAACACCAAAACTGCTGAGAAAGATGCTCGATCTGAAGGGGGCCTCACGCACTCACCGCCCTCATGGCCCTCATTGCCCTCACCGCCCTCACGGCCCTCACCGCCCTCACCACCCTCACCGCCCTCACGGCCCTCACGCACTCAGAGCCCTCACGCCACTCACCGTCCTCACCGCCCTCACGGCCCTCACCGCCCTCACGGCCCTCACCGCCCTCACGGCCCTCACCGCCCTCACAGCCCTCACGGCCCTCACTCACCCTCACCTCACCTGTGAGGATGAGGGTGAGTGAGGGTGAGTGAGGGCCCCCTTGAGTGAGGTTTGCCGAGGTATGGTTAGGACCACTACAAAATACGAGAGGCCCGTACGGAAGCAGAAGCATACAGCTCTGGTGTCACAAGAACTAGACAACAACTCATCTCCAAATACTTGCACTACAACTACAAACTACTTCATTCAAGTGAATGTAAAGAAGCGTGTGCCATAAGGGAACAAAGTGCCTAAAAGAATACTAACCCTTTCCCAAATACATCTTCCTTATCAGTGCTGCAAGAAAAATTAAAGAAAAAAAACGAAGAGAGTCGGATTACTCAGTGCAACCAGGTTAGCACAAGACACAGAGAAGCCCTTTTATTACACAGCAAATGGCACACGACTGAGCACAAGCAAATTTAAAATAAGCTTTTCTTCGAAGGTCACAACGTACAAGGATTACAAACTCACCACAATTTTTGCTAGCAATAAAAACTACCAGCGAAGAAGCCGAATCTCCTAGCAAAATGTCGGCTGCCTGACAGGAAGCTTCTTTTCCATGTTAGTCCTACCAGCTTCTGCTCCATTTGTGCCTTGTTACGGCTATTAAGAGTGCCAGCACTTTATTCTGAACTTTTAGGTGTCAGCTACCTCAATCCATCAAACAGCCCAAGTTCAACATAAAGCACCATACACGAAAGCTGCCACCTGGCCCACCATTAGATAACATTAATGCCACAACAGCCTCGTTTCAGCTTAATTATACAAAGCACCAGGTAGTGACAAATTAGGTGACCAATAAAAATTATTCACTGGAGCTGCCCAACTTGACTTGGGGCTATTGGAAGGTTCACACATGACACAGAAGGTACAAAACTCTTTTCACGGATGGGCATGTAAGCAAGTCCAACAGATAGGAGTTTATACTCTAACCCTCCACACGTGCTCGGTGCACTTATTCTTTGTGTTACTACAGGCAATGGGAAGCCATAGCAGACCAGTCTTATCGACTTTCATGAACTGTGACGGCACTACTCAGCATTTATGACATTACACTAGGCTATAAGATGCACAGCAGAAATGTGGAAAAAAAAACTGCCAAAAACACAAATCATTGTACAATGTAGTCGACGACACTCCTGAACTGATAGATATTTTAAAACAAATGTAACTGAGGCCACACTCTATTCCACCTTAAATTAGGAGCGGAAGATGAGCTCCTAATTGCACAAGTGCCAAAAGGATCTATGAGTGTCCACTCGTAGCATTGATCCTCATACCATATTAAAAGGCAAAATAGAGTATGAATTTTAAATGGCACAAAAGACTGCCAAAGAAGGCTTCAGCACTTTCATTTAACTGTTCTATCGCTGTCACCGGGTCACTTCCAATGGCACCAAGCCAAAGGTAATTCAGGCTTTCACCATACAGATGCTCCTCTCAACTTGCTATAAACAAACTCGTAGCTTTGATGTCACTCTGCCGGCAGGGGCGATTTCCCGGCGTTTCGTGCTCAAAGTGTGCGCACGCGTCTTGTCGTTAAATAGCGCTCTGCACACGTGCAGCGCCCACGATTATCATGTGACCGTACGCTTGCTCATCCACAAGGAGCGAGGCATGCAGAATAGCTCTTCACCAGCTCCCACTAATCTACCCAAAATGAAGTCCAAAGAACTCAGGAAAGGATGTGGGATTTGTACTGGAACACAAAAACGTTGCATTCCACACAACACTGCGTGGGGTCTCGCAAGGAGATATGAGTCGGTCCATCCTGAAGCATGCGCTGGCAGTGTTTACCTGCCCCCTAGGTCCTCCTTGTCGGTGCTGAGCGGAGGGCAGTGAGGCACGGGTTGCAGCTCCTGCCCGGGCTGGTCGGCCTCAGTCCCCCCGGACATGGTTGCCGAAATGGTCACGTCCTACCAGGGACGAGCGAGCTCATCTCCTGCGGTAGAAACCCAAATACCGTCATAAATTGCTCCCGTCCACCTTGAAAGAGGCACAAAATTATCTGTTCTGTTTCACTTAATGTTGCTCGGAATTACAAAGAGCGCATCAGTTTGCCCGTCACCGATTAGCAGTCGCGGAAACAACTGGAGAAAGAGAAGAGACCTAGCTATTTATGCTTTTTGTAATATCACAGTTTATCCAGTGACGTCTTTCGATTTCATTTGTTTTATGACTACTTTGGGCACTGACCTGATGTGATAACAAGAATTACAATGACACCGCCCCGCCAACATGCTCACATTTTTAATAGAACCAGAGAGCAAGTACACTGTCGTTCCCGTTGCTCACTTCACTTATGATTTATACAAGCTCAACATGTCTCTAAAAAACAATCAGTTATTTGACAGTACTTACTTTCCTGACAATTTTTATTACAACACCCATACTTGTGTTTTAATGGTGATATTTATTTTTAAGGCGAGAATTTCGAGCTCGTAGTTTTATCTTTAGCAGTTGCTCCTGCTGACTGAGAGTTTGCGCAGCCAAGATGCATCCTTCAACAAAGAGCTCGCGCTTACAGCCTAGTAGCGGAATTGTTGTACATTACAAAAAGCTGGGGAACAAAAGATAAAGCGAAACAAAGGGCAAATGAACACAGATAAGTATAAACTATGTGAATACGTTAAAAGAGCAGAGCTACTTTTCGAGTGAAAATGAGGCGACGAGACGAGATCATTATGGCGCATGCTATTTCTAGCGCTCGAGACATGGGAACCGGGACTCGTAGCCGGTTGGCCTGTGGGCCGCGTCCCAGCAAGTCACAGGCCGCATACGGACTGCAGGCCGCGTGTTTGAGACCCCGACGTAGATGTTGCGAGCGCTCAGGATTGCTAACACAAACCACTTTTCTCGGGTGATGAAAACATATGAAAATTCGCATCCTTCATATGGTATGCACCAGTAATATCTTAAACTTGAGCACATGCATGGAATGCGCAAATAAAGAAATCTGAGCAATGTTTGAGGATACAAATGCTAAGAAAGCACCACTGCAGTCTAAGTAAACAAACACGACGGCACGAGCGTTTCTGCCGTTTGAGAATTCCGCAAGACATCGCTGGCACGAATAGATGGATCTTCCCTTCTAGTACGTGCTGGGTTATCATAGCAACACACAATGAGAATTCACAGACAAGGATAGCGCTTTACGCGTAACGATGAGCTTCCACCACGCTGACCATGTTGAGGATCACCACCGACGCCATGTTTTTCAGCATATAGGAGGAACCGCGACCAACATGCAACGTGCGCGGCCGAGCTCTCCTTGAACTGCGATTGGTCTGTCGGCACGGTCGCTCCCTTCATTCCCGAACATAGCGAAAAAGTTCAGCCTGATTCAACTCCTTGCGTTGCGAACAAACACAAACAAAACGGCCATTTGGCACTTCGTTGCTACGGCAACCCGTCGTTCCAACCGGTTGCATTCATTCGTAAGCATAGGGGTCGCTTTGAACGCAAGTGTGTGAACGGGCCTTACGCACAGTGGTTGCTCCGAACACAAGTGTGTGAAAGGGCCAATGTGGAAGATGTCACAAATTTCAACTGAATTAAATACTGCAAAGAATAATCTCAAACACACATGTTGAAACCTGAAACAAAGGCAAAAAAAGCAAGGAAGGATGGAAACACAAGGACAGGCAGTATGTAACACAGACATATTTTTAGAGAATGTTTTTAGTGTTGTTTCTGCTTCATCACTCCACCAATCTTTAAATTGTTGCCACCTGCCTGCCTGCCTTCCTCGCCATAAGAATGCTGTTGGCACTGGGAAAAGCATCTAGAGGCTGTTGTTAACCGTTTTCAAACGTTTTATACATACTACTGAACATACAAGATTACATTATTTACTTAAGAAAAAGGCCACGAAGTTCTAAGAAAGGTTGCTTGCTTTGCAAAGATAAAGAGGAACCAAACAAATGCAGCAAAACTCCTCAAGCTGGACACCCCAATTCCTTTCTCACGTGTCAGACAGATGACTCCTGAGGAAATTATGCTGTGCTTCGCATGTGTGTTAAACTTTTCCTTTAATCTTACATTGAGGGGGACATATTTTCTTAGGGATGGCAGTACTTATCTGGCTGCAAATGGCGGGACTAGTCTGCATCTGTCTATTTTTATTTCACTGCAAAAACTGTCTAGCTCAACAACCTATAGAGTTTTTCACCCTCTGCTGTATGGGTGCTGCCATCTTGGAATCACATGACGAGGCCGCCATAAGGTAGCTTCAACTCGTTGCTTCACTCTCCCCTCCAGGCCTTGGCGAAGGCGTTGTATTCGTGTTTGTCGTCGTGTTTCGCCGTGAATTTTTGTCTTGCTCTGTAACGTGTCGTCTGATACTTGTCGTTACTATCTAATTACATGCCATCCTTATGTTCACCACTTCTACACTTGGTTTTATAAGACATTTTGACTATTTGCACTGTCTGCATACCGGAGACGTGTAGAAGGCTAGAGGAGGCACATGAGACAGCGTTAGCGCTGGTGCACATTGAGTATGTAGATGTCTTTAAGACATCACAATGGTCAATGTAAGGAGTCACAATGTGTCTTTCTCGAAAGCATCATACTCTGTCTTCATAACGAATAGAAAGCAGTTGCTTTTGATTATTTGGCAGAATTGTTATTGCAGTACAGACATTCGTTCAATCGGTTTATTTAATAATAAAGAAAAACTATGCATTGTATTCAGTCCCATGTCTGAAGTGAAGTCACTCAAGTGTCTTCATTATTTTATGAAGATATCTAATTCACTTATTTAAACACAAAAGTTAGTGCTCCCCAGGTGAAAATTGCATAGTCAGCTTGTGAGTGCCTGAAGTATGCAATATGTAACGCCGAAAAGAAATTGTCTGCATAGAAATCACCCGAGTGCAGCGTTGTCAATGTCAAATTTACTTTCAGCGGCTGGCGACGTCAATGAAAGTAAAAAGTGCGTCTGTTCCAAGCTAATAAAAATCTGTCTACACATGTCCATGAAGTGGTGCCTGGCATTTGACTTGAGCTAAACTTGCTGGAGGTTGTTTCTCTTAAATCTTTTAATTTTATTTTATGGAAGACTTAATGAGGGGTCCGTCATGTCTCATATCCTGAATATGCCGCAAGGAAATATAACAAATTAATGATTTCTTAAGGCCTATATTGTGAAATGCTGCTAATGAATACCTTAGTAGGGCCAATATTTGAAAGAAACATGGGTCTAAAGTATCAAACTGCCGAATTTCCTACTCTGTCCAGGATGAGCCATCAAAACATCTCTCGAGTACTTAATTTTTTTAAAGAAAACAGGTGAAGACAATAATGCTTTTTCTTTTACTGCATCATTACTGGAGGGCTTTCGAATCGCCAATGTTCAGAAAACAGTGGTGTCCTCGAAAATCAAACGGAGAGCACTAAACTTGCGAGTTGATCTGTTCTTCGCGATTCAGCATCTCATTACAAAATGGAAGCAAATCAGATTGCCGACCTGCTTTTTCACTATGCCTTCGTACATTAGTCTTTTTATTAGTTTATTTTTATGGAAATAAGTGTCAACCGATATGGTCAGTGCAGCTATAGATAAGGGTAATCCTCCTCCTGTATTAGTTACGTCGTTTCACCGCAAAACCTGGCCAAACAAACATGACCACACGAAAGTCTTCGTACAAAAATGTCAACCAATTTAGGTTCGTAACTTCTTTGCAGTTTTCAAAGTGGCTGAGTACCATTGTATTGTTGGTTGGGTACCATAAGGGACACATTTGTGTCACTAAATTAAGCGAAAACGACACAACTGCAAACACGTTGAAAACGAAACCAGCCAAGTTGAAGCCACTTTATGGCGCTGAAAAAATCAGCGCCCTCTCTCTGCTGGTCAGGTAATTACTGAGATAAAAAGGTCTATGGCGCAAGAAACACAAACATAAAAGCTCTGATCAAAGTCTTCACAACCTCCTGTTAGAATATACTTCCATTTCAACCACAAGCACAGTGAGACTGTTCTAAATCGAACTGAAAGATCCATCATTCAATAAACCGTATACATGGCAAAACATTGTCTCAGTACAAGATATGTGCCTACATTGAAACAAACAGCAAAAAGACATTCCGCTACAGAGGAATGTAGCAGCTGCTGTGAACAGGAAAAGGGTTGAAAACATCACAGACAAGATTAATATTATAGACAGGAAATACCAGAAAGGAAATAAACTGGGGGAGAATTTATGTGTCAAACCAACGAAGGGCATCTTATTACAAAATATAACCACTAGAAACGAAAAATAAAAAAAAATAAAAAATAAATAAAGAAAATAGAGATAGAAAATACACGAGTTTTCCCATCCTATAAAACCAATGTGTCATGGTTATATAGACAAAAAATAGAGTTAAAACAAGTTCACTAAAACAAGAGTTATTCAATTAAAATCTATTGGAGAAAATGAAATGTGGAAAACATCAATGCACACAAATTGCACCTAAGAACAAACACATGGTCCTACATATCTGACTCTTTTCAATAAAAATGATTAATATATATTTGTCGAAAGAAAGCAATATATTAGATGAGAGGCAGAATGACGGGTCTCGATTCACTGTGCCTCTAATCTATTAGCCGCAATTTCCAATAACTATGCAATATTGTTAATGCACTGCAACCGCTGAGTAAAGGTGTAACTGCATGGCATACTACAGGGCAAACTGCCTTCAATGAAATCGGGTTACGTATTTACTTACGTTCTGTTGTGTGTGCGTGTGTGTGTGTGTGTGTGTGTGTGTGGGGGGGGGGGGGGGGGGGGGGGGGGACGGGACACGGGGGGACACCTGCGTAGGTTGACAAATGGAGTACAATATGTTCCACACGATACACGATTGGTATGACAAATTCGAACGGCCGTGAATATCGTGATCGGCGTCGGAACAACAATATACGGGGGCGACTTCATTGAAAAGCAAGCCGCGGGGGTTAAAGAGCGCCTGAGAAAGGGATAGCGCGTGCGTACGCACGTATGCACCACAACCAACGCGGCAGACGCCGTAGAGTTCGGCATGACAGCTGTTCGAAGGAAATGAACCACCCTTGTGCCGACAAACATTCCAGGTCCCTGCAGCCAGCGAAATCGCACAAACAAGGAGAATCGCCACGAAAGAACTTCGGGCGATAACCTTTTTTTTTTTTTTTTTTTTATTATTACGACTATTATCCCATCAACATTCCAAACGTCACGGACTTTTTTATTTTTATTTTCGTAAGCCGCAGACTGGTTGCCTTGCATATCGTTCGGTTCGGATTAAGTAGTACCGCTGAAAACGAAAAGGTGGTTCCTACCAGGAATGCGCCGTGGCTTCCTGCTGTTGCGATCAAAACAAATGCCTACGCCATTCGGAGAAAGCAGCGGCCGCGGGCAGAGGCGACCGACTGCCCGAGTGAAGCGAGTTAAATGCCCCGACAAGATCGCGATCAGGGACGTCCCATCTCGGCAGCTCGGCTCCGGTTTTGCGCGAGACCGGCACCGCAAAGCAAAGCGTCGGTGGAAGAAGCAAAAAAGCCATACCTCCATCCACGAGAGACGCCGTCGCAGCGCGAAGACTCCGAACGCTCCGAACGCCGATGTCCACCGACAGGGCGGCAGAGGGCGCCAGTGCGGCATTCTGCGTTTCTCTTACGTCACCATTCCACGCTTTTCTCCTCGCGAGCTCGCGATTATCCTCCATCACGAACGCGACGAACGTCGTCGAAGCGAACTGGAGCTCGGTGTTGCTGCGTTATACAAAACGGTTTATGTGTCAATCTTTTTCAGACGCGTATGGTTTGTCAGATTTCATGGTATTTTGTTGTCACTGGAATTCTTCGTTTGTGCCTTCTCGCTTGCTTCGGATGATAAAGTTCTTTTTTTCTTTCTATTTTTTTTTTTTCGGATGTTTTATATAATTTCTTTGCACTCAATCTCCTAATCGTCGCTTGTTTGTGTGTGTGCGTGTTTCCGTTATCGGTTCGTCGATTTGCTTGACACCAAGTTTCTGAGAAAATATCAGAAACTAGTGTTCAAAATGTTGACGTTTCTGACGTCGTGGTTTCGTTTCATTTCGATTGCGTCTGGCCTACATTTAGCCTACCACGTAAACTTTTATGTCCTTGTCTTATCTTCTATTTTCAGCTCTTGTACCATCATAGTACTACTGCGCATTCAGCCCCACAAGCCCCTGTCTGTTCTAACAAACTTGTCTGCGTGTAATCTATGCATTCATCCCATTCTGCGAATTAGACTGATGCACGCAACTCCTAAACATGCAGTTTTTTTGTTTTTTTTTATGTGTGTGTCTTTTATGCGTTTGACGCGAGAATGCGCTACACCTCGCCTTAGTGTTTTGTTGTTGTTGTTTGTTTGTTTTTTTCCTTAGCACGCGGCTGTACGGAGGATGTTGCTTCTCTGCATGCATTAGTGCGCGGTAAGAAGCGCGCTCAACTAAGCTCATTTGCGGAACTTCCGAGTACTATCGTGTTCATATTCAAAGGCCAAATCAAATAGTGAGTTATTCCAAGCGCTCACCCAAGGCTCTGGATATTCTTGCATACCTACAGTAAAGATTATTTATTACGACACAAATTCCTCACATTTCAATTAAATGTAGTAGGAGCTAGCAGGGTAAGCACTTTGGTGCACTTTGGAGAAAATGGTGCAGGCGATCACATCGTTGGTTTCATGAAACCTCCCGAGCCAACAGGCACGACAGTGCCTGTTGGCTCGGGAGAGAGAGAGCGAGAAAAAAAAGAAGGTGGCTACTTGCATCGAGCTCGCATTTTATGGAAACTTTAGTCTAACCTCCTTGGAACTTTGTTCGTTCCGTCTCCTGTCCACTCGTCACGTGACCGTCACGTCACGTTAGAGGGGGCAAACAGATGTATGCAGGACGCGACACAGCTAGTGCGAACACTGCATCCCCGATTTTAATTCCAGAACTGAAAGGATGTTATAAAAAATACTGGCGTATCGGAAGGTGCTCACGCTGGCACAAATGAAAGTGCTAACGTTCGATGTTCCACACCACAGCCGGTGACGAGTCAAGAACGCAGGGCGAGGGAAA